TGAGTGGCGTTTTGGTAGTCACTGTGGCTGCGCCAGCCCAGAGGACAGTTTTGATGGGAAAACTTGGGTAGAGATGGTTCCTGTGGGGCATGAGGAGCCAGGAGAGAAGGGCAGGGGTCTCCAGGGGGTCCTGGGTTCCAGGCAAGAGTCAGGGTGCAAGAGCGGGCAATATTTAGAGGAGCTGAGGCTCGGTTTATTTGTATCGAAATGTTCCTATGTCTCACGCTGGGTTGGTGTGGTAACGAGACATGATAGGGATTGGGGAGGAAAGAAGGATGGATGTTCTCGGTTTTCTAGTGGCAACAGCCTCTGGGGAGGGCTGGGGGGTCAACGTGGTGTATTAGTCTTTGGGAAGTGTTGCTCTGAGCCGTAGGACCTTTGTCCCAGCACAGGGGCCTGACGCCTCTCTGAGGGTCCTGGTCTGATATCGTATCTCTCCAGCCTGAGAAGGCTTTGCAGGTTCCCCCGTGGGTCGTTAAGATGGTGTGGTCTCCTTTCAGCAGAGAAGAGAGGGGAGGTCACCAGGCATGGCTTATGAGGAAAATGTATCTGACGGTCTCTTTAAGCCCTGATTTGCTTTTTGTCTGAGCCAGAAAGCAAATGTTGTGTGTGCTGGGATGCCACAGTAGCCAGAATCCCCTCCCGTGCTGGACAGAATCTTCTGTGAGCGGAGGAGAAGGGGAGCCCGGTGGCGGATGGGGGCAGGGCTTCAGAGGTGGAGGAGCTTTCTTGAGTGTCCACCTGGAGGAGGCTTCAGCAGAGGGAACGGCGGGGAGGTCTCTCCTGGCAGAGGCCGTCAGTCTACGTCAAGCTGTCACCTCCGGAAGCTGAAAGGAGAGGGGTGTGACCCTCTCGGTCAGGCTGAGGGCAGAGGGTTTTGAGAGCAAGGATCTCTGCTCCTCCCTGTCCACTGCTGTAGGCCCTCGGGGTCCTTCCGGCAGATAGCCCAGGGTTGCAGGACAGGCAGGAAGTGAAGCCCTGATCTCTGTCCGCTCCTCGAGCTGGAGGTGGTGAGGATGAGCTCCCGCTTCATAGATCCCATTCCCCAGGACCGGCCAAGTCGAGGGACGGTGAGCGCACGGTGTATTGCAACGTGCACAAGCACGAGCCCCTTGTGCTGTTTTGCGAGAGTTGCGACACCCTCACCTGCCGGGACTGCCAGCTCAACGCCCACAAGGACCACCAGTGAGTCCTGAGGCTTGGTGGGTGGGTGCTGCCTGTTCCTGTGCTGGGCGCCCGGGCCCACCTCTATCTGCCCTCAGGTACCAGTTCCTGGAGGATGCTGTGAGGAACCAGCGCAAGCTCCTGGCCTCACTGGTGAAGCGCCTCGGGGACAAGCATGCGACATTGCAGAAGAACACCAAGGAGGTTCGCAGCTCGTAAGTGTGGGTGCCTGTGCTGTGCTGGGGCGGGGGGTGGGGTGGCTCTGGGTGAGCACCTGCCTGAGTGGCCCTGACCTCACCCACTCTGCTACCCAGGATCCGCCAAGTGTCTGACGTACAGAAGCGCGTGCAGGTGGACGTTAAGATGGCCATCCTGCAGATCATGAAGGAACTGAACAAGCGGGGCCGTGTGCTGGTTAACGATGCCCAGGTACCCGCTGCGTGGTCCTTCTCTGTTGGCAGCTCACTCTACCTCAGGTGGAATCGTCCTGGGGTTTGGCGCCCTCTGCTGGCTGCTGATGCCCTCCTTGGGTGGGGAGAGGTTCTGGTGCTTTGTCCTCCCTGACCCCATCTGTTCTCCACCTGCAGAAGGTGACTGAGGGGCAGCAGGAGCGCCTGGAGCGCCAGCACTGGACCATGACCAAGATCCAGAAGCACCAGGAACACATCCTGCGCTTTGCCTCATGGGCTCTGGAAAGTGACAACAACACTGCTCTGCTACTCTCCAAGAAGCTGGTGTGTGCTGGTGGGCACCCAGGTGGTGGGTTCCAGGTAGGCACCTCCCAAGACCCTGGAGCCCTGTTCACTGCCCGTGTGCTCATGTACTGCCCACCCCCAGATCTACTTCCAGCTGCACCGGGCCCTCAAGATGATCGTGGACCCTGTGGAGCCACACGGTGAGATGAAGTTCCAGTGGGACCTCAATGCCTGGACCAAGAGTGCAGAAGCCTTTGGTGGGTTTTTGTCTTTCTCTTGCTGCACCCTGCCATCCCAGGCACTGCACTCACTTTCTTACACTGTTTTACTTCTTTACTGCAGGCAAGATCGTGGCAGAACGTCCTGGCACCAACTCCACAGGCCCTGTACCCATGGCCCCTCCTCGGGCTCCAGGGCCTTTGAGCAAGCAGGGCTCTGGCAGCAGCCAGGTGAGCCAGGGAGGGGACCATAGTGGGAGGAAAGAGGCACGGGGTCCTGTGGGATACCTGTCCACTGAGGTCCACTTGCTCTGCCCACAGCCTATGGAGGTGCAGGAAGGCTATGGCTTCGGGTCAGGTGAGTGATTCTGCCCCCCCAGTAGGTGGGAGAGCTGCAGTGCCCTATGTCCACCCCAACCTGTTTTCTGTGTTCCGAGCAGATGACCCTTACTCGAGTGCAGAGCCCCACGTGTCAGGGGTGAAGCGGTGAGTGTGGCTGCCCTTTGGTGGTTATAGGGACAGGGTGGCCATAGGGGTGGGGCGCTCACACCAAGCCACGCCCACAGGTCCCGCTCAAGTGATGGTGAGGTGAGTGGCCTCATGCGTAAGGTGCCACGGGTGAGCCTCGAACGCCTGGACTTGGATCTCACGGCTGACAGCCAGCCACCAGTCTTCAAGGTCTTCCCAGGCAGCACCACTGAGGATTACAACCTCATCGTCATTGAGCGAGGTGCTGCAGCTGTTGCAGCTGGACAGCCTGGGACTGCGCCCCCAGGGGCCCCTGGCGCTCCGCCCCTGCCTGGCATGGCCATCGTCAAGGTGAGCCTGCCCAAGTGACTGTGGCTGGGAGATGAGGATCTGCTGCCCAGGCCGGCACCCCACTGAACACCCCTCACCTCCTCACAGGAGGAAGAAACAGAGGCTGCCATTGGGGCCCCGCCTGCCGCCACTGAGGGCCCCGAGACCAAACCTGTGTTGATGGCCCTGGCCGAGGGCCCCGGCGCCGAGGGCCCCCGCCTGGCTTCACCCAGTGGCAGCACCAGCTCAGGCCTGGAGGTGGTGGCCCCTGAGGGCACCTCAGCCCCAGCTGGTGGCCCAGGTGCCCTGGATGACAGTGCCACCATCTGCCGTGTCTGCCAGAAGCCAGGCGACCTGGTCATGTGCAACCAGTGCGAGTTCTGCTTCCACCTGGACTGCCACCTGCCTGCCCTGCAGGATGTGCCAGGGTGCGAGGCTGTGCGGGGTCTGTAGGGCGGAGGGCTGGGCCAGGTCCCGTGCAGCCCCTCACGGTCTGTTCCCTCTAGGGAGGAGTGGAGCTGCTCTCTCTGCCACGTGCTACCCGACCTGAAGGAGGAGGATGGCAGCCTAACCCTGGATGGGGGTGACAGCACCGGCGTGGTGGCCAAGCTCTCGCCAGCCAACCAGCAGGTGAGGGTGGGGCCCACTCCCTTGGTTTGGCCAGCAGCACCCCAAGTCCCCTGTGACTCTGATGCTCATGTAACGCCTGCAGAAGTGTGAGCGCGTCCTGCTGGCCCTCTTCTGCCATGAGCCCTGCCGGCCCCTGCACCAGCTGGCTACTGACTCCACCTTCTCCCTGGTGAGTTCTGGGACTTGGGAGGGTGGGAGGTGCAGGGGCTGTTTGGCCTCACCTTCAGCCTGTGGCCTCTGCTCGAAGGATCAGCCCGGCGGCACCCTGGACTTGACGCTGATTCGAGCCCGTCTCCAGGAGAAGTTGTCACCCCCCTACAGCTCCCCCCAGGAGTTTGCCCAGGATGTGGGCCGCATGTTCAAGCAGTTCAACAAGCTGACAGAGGTGAGCCTGTTGGGGTGGGGATGGGTTGGGGAGGGGAGGCTGGGGGCAGAGAGGTGGGCGACCTAGGACCCATCCACTGTAATTTGCCCGGCAGGACAAGGCCGATGTGCAGTCCATCATTGGCCTGCAGCGCTTCTTTGAGACTCGCATGAACGAAGCCTTTGGTGACACCAAGTTCTCCGCTGTTCTGGTGGAGCCCCCGCCGCTGAGCCTGCCTGGTGCTGGCCTGAGCGCCCAGGACCTGTCCAGTGGCCCTGGTGATGGCCCCTGAGGCTGGGCAGCCCCCGAGCCGCTCCAACCTGGCTCTGTTCTCTGTTCTGTCCTGTCACCCCCTCTTCTCTCTCCTCTCCTCCTTCCTCCGGTGGCCTGGTTCCCACTCCTTGGTGGCCCATACCCCAGCCCCTCACAATATGGTTTTTACTTCTGTGGATTTAATAAAAACTTCACCCGTTACTCAGGCCTTGGTTGGTGGGGGCAGTGGTCCTGGGGGCCTGGTTTCTGGCTGTTACCGATCCCTCACCAAACCCTGTTGGGCCAGATGGAGGTGGGGCACTTGTGTCCGGCCACCTGGGTGTCCAGGGAGTGGGGAGCAGCATCCCTCCTGGGCCCTTTGCGATCTGGGGAGTGTCTGGTGGGTAGGAGGGTCACCCGGTAGGTAGGCAGACCCAGGCTAACCTGTGGGCAGGCAGGGTGAATCCCCAGGTAGGTGCTGCACGGCAGCTCATTCTCCCCGAGAGCTTCCTGGACTGGCTTGGAACTGTTTCTCGCAACCAGCTCATCAAAGTGAGCTGGGTGGGCTGGGCTAAGCGGAGTTGGGCAATGTATCCCTGGGGGACAGGCCTGCACTCCTGGGATGCTACCAGGATGTCTGGGGAGCCTGCCTTCTTGGGGGTGCTGGGCCAGTGTCTGCTGCTCATTTTCACATCCCAAGCCCTGAAGACGGGTGGGCTTGGTCTGTCCACTCCCGCCAAAACGAGAAAACCTCCAGCCCTCTGTCTTATACCCCAGCTAATGTGGCACACATGACCAAGCCCTGCCTGAGCAACTCCTGTCAGCCCTGTCACCAGACTCCCAGCCTGGCTCACATCAGGCCACTCACACAGGCCCAAGACTAGTGGCCAACTTCTTTTATTGCAGAAGGTACAATGAAAATGCTGGGCCCTCCGCTGGCTCCCTAGGGTGGCATGGGGGTGTGTGGTGTGTGCAGTCAGTCCCTTCGAAGGTTCTTGAGCCGCTCCTCCAGGTCTGCGTCTGCATCGACTAGGGCGGAGGCTGCAGCCTCTGCTTTCTTCCCACTGGCAGCCACACTGAGGGAGCCTCCAGTGGAGGGGAGGTCTGCAGAGAAGGGGGGTTAGGAAGAGAGCCCCTGCTGGAAGGAGTAATGCTGGGAGAGGGAGGGTCTGCGCGATGGCTGAGCTGCGCGCAGGACAGGGCCCAGGGTCTGGACACTCACTTGACAGCTCATCGGTCAGGCTCAACCCCAGCTCGTCCAGGACCTGGGCTACAACAGCGTCACTAGGTAAAAAAAAAAGAACTATGAGGGCCAGGCACCCGGAGGGCCAGGCATCCCCTCTGTCCCCACCCTCCTGCCTCCTGTCTCCAAACCTCTCCTCTTCATCGTCCTCGTCACCCATGGCATCGTCAATGGCATCGTTCATCATCTCCTCCTTCATGTCCATAATCTCCGCCTGCCGCTCGAACTCCATCATGATCTTCTGGATCTGGGGCAACTTCAGCTGGAAGTGGGAGGAGGGTGAGTCTGGCCCCTGAGGTTAGCAGGGGTAGGGAGGGGGATCGGGAGAGGCGCACCTGTCTGTTCATGGTGCCCATGGCCTTGGTGACGCCCTTCATGGCTTGTGCCATTGAGTTGTTAGACTTGAGTGTCTGGATCTTGAGGGACACAGCTTGGATGTTGGCCCGCATCAACACAAACTTGCGCACGTACCGCCTTGTGCGCACCAGGTCTCTTGCCATGATACGCACAGCGTCCTGCGAGGGGACAGAGGTGGCAGGGAGCCAGCCTTGGGAGTGTGCTCACTGCCACTCCACCATGCCCACTGAGGCTTTCAGGGGCTCCTATGTGCCTGCTCCCACTGGCCACTGTTCCCTCTCGCCCTCATGCCTCTTGGGTCACCACTGCACAGACTCCTCCGCGGCCTTCTCATCTCTGCTCCAGAAATGAGAGGAAGAAAGGTGGGGCCGCCCTTGAGGGGTCCTTTTCTCTCCATGTCTATAGAGTCAACACCCATTCCTGAATTTCTCTCCTGGCCAAAGAATGTGTGTCTCCCTCCACCTCACACAGGCCCTCACCTCAAGTACAGGATCCTGATTCACACACGAACACTTCCAAACCTCACCTTTTCACTTCCTCCCCAGAGCTCTTCCTTGCTTTGCCCATCCCAGGAAATGGCGCCTCAACCCAGCTGCTCAGGCCAAAACTCTGTCGCCCATCAAAGGTGCTGCTCCCCAGCGGTTCAGGCTGTGCCCATCTCTCTGCTCACTGGCCCCCAGGGCCAGTGCATTCCATGCCACGTGGGCTCCCACTGTGGCCCACGATTCCAAGTGGTCTGGCCCACATCCACTCCTCTGAGCTCACCCATCACTCTCTCATGGAGCATCTGCTGTTCTATCTGACACACTTGCTGTTCTATCTGACACACTTGCCACTTGGATCTTCACGGGCTCACTCTCTTCCTTACTCAACGTTTGGCTCTGTTACCACCTCCACAGAGGCAGCCTTTTGGACCCTGAAACTAGGGAAAGCCCCACTCAACCCTTCATTTCCCTAGAAGCACCTCCCTGTTGGTGCTCAGCATGTCCAGTTTGCTGCAGCCCCAGTGTCTGAACAAGCAACAGCACTGGCCTGTGTCCCAGGCTGTGCCCAATCGAGCTTACCATCTGGCCCTGCTTGGCCATTTTCTTGATGTCTGCAATGATTTTCTTCTCCTGGGTCTCTAGCTTCTGTCGCTCACGGTCCAGCTCTCGCATGGCGCGGTTCAGGGCGCGCTGGTTCTGCCGCAGCAGCTCCTCCGGCGTCTTCCGGCGCCCAAATAGCAGGTCCATGGCCGCAGGAGCCCACCGGTAGGACTGGGGCAAGTGTGAAGCCTTACTGCAGAGTGGTGTGAGGCCCAAAACGAGGGCATGAGGCAGAGCTGGGGTCACACTGTGTATGGGCAGGGACAGATGGGGGCTCCCAAAATGGAAAGGGCCGAGCAGGGAGAAAAGGCGTGAATGGAAGGCCAAAAGAGTGGAGTCTGGAACTTGGGTAGCCCCAGGGACATGAGTGGGGACAACGTGCCCACCCCAACCCCTCCTCCATCACAGTGCCCCCACAGAGGTTCAAGGCTTCCACCTCGTCCTGCAGACCCTGCGATGAGGCCCTAGCGTGTTCGGTGGACTGAGACTGGAGATGGCCGTGTGTGGGCTGACGGGGGTAGGGGGCACTTGGAACCCTGAGCGCCAAGGACAGGGCACTTGAGAGGGTCCCTGACAGGAGGAGGTGGAGGCTGCGAGTGCTAGAAACAGGGTGGATGGGGGCGGCCCTGAAGCTGACAGCGTATGCATGGAATTCGGTTTGGGGCGGGGGTCCTAAATGCTGAGGGAATCTGGGCGCGGAGAATAAGGTTGGGGGGCGTTGCGGACTCCTGTACAGAGGGAGGGATGCTAAGTGTTGGGGTGCCTTGTTCACGCAGGAAAGCCTGGGGGGGCCATTCGGGGTGTTGACCACTGAAGGCAAGACAGCATGGGGTCCTCTGATGATAAGGCCGGGTCCCAGAGAGGGGCGAGGCCCTCGTACGCCGCCACCCACGCGTCCACCCAGGGCCCGCACCCCAGTAGGGGCCACTCACCGGAGTTGCGACAGGGACTCGCTTCCGTTTCCGGGTCACGCTCTTCTCGCTGGGAGCCCCGGAGCGCCCACCAACAGACCCTCGGTTCTGTCGCGTCGGCGGTCGCCGCCGTTTCCGGATTAAACCACCTGACGTCACACGCCCCGCCGGCGCCCGGAATGCTGGGCGGGGACAACAGCGCGCGTGCGCACGCGCCGGGGACCAGACCGGCCCCAGGCGCATGCGCACCAGCTTCCGTGTCCCTGCCGCAGACTCGGTGTTCCACAGGTTCAAGTCCAGCCTGAGGGAGCCGAGCCACGGCCGGAGTCCTGGTCCTTGTGGGGTTGGCGCCCTTCCGGGCAGCCACCCGGAGGCCCTGCACCCCACCACGTTACCCACTGTAGGGCCCAGCTCATCTCAGGGACCCAGAACTCTCGCTGATGTTTCTGGACCTCAGGCACCCGGTGGCACCAGACAGCGTTCTCCTCGTCAGGCCCTCCCATGGCAGAAGGGGGCAGAACAGGAGATGGTGCGGACTTTCTTGTATGTTGGCTTACTGGCCACGAAGTCTGTGGTTACTGGATCCTGCCCCTCCTTTGTTCCGGAGTGGGATTCATCCCACCCTGCCCGAGGCCTGGGGCTTGGTCCCCTCACGACTCCCAGGGCTGCCCCAGGCACTGGGCAGCCTGCTGATGCGGGGGCGGGGGGGGGCCCCCTAACGCCACCTGTGATCACACAACTCCCACCGCGCTTGCTGCAGGAGCCCTGGTGGACATCACCTGCCCCTCCCACCCCACAAAAGGAAGAGGCAGAGGCCATGCAGTAACATTCCCCTTTAATAGCCTGGCGGGACCTCCAGTGGTGCAGGGGTGGGGTGCTGGGTGCCCAGCCACCCTTGGCCTCCCACCCCAGAGCCCAGATTAGGGGGGCTGGACAGCACCCAGCGTGGGGCTAGACAAGCCAATTCATTTCCCATCGCTGAGCGGGTCGGGGGAGGCAGCGCCGACCTCAATCACATGGTGGTTTAAAAAAAAAAAAAAAACTAGGAGCGGGTGGCAGGGAGGGGTGGCAGGTCAGGGCATGGGATTCCCCCACCGGCTGCCCCATGCCCCCCCCCACCTGTGGCCCCCAATAAATATTTGCAGGGGACGCCGGGGCTGGTGGCCCTGGCAGGGGTGTGTATGCGCCAACCCTATTTCAGGCAGCGCTCGAAGTAGGTGGAGCCAATATAGCCACCCCGCATGGAGCGCTGCACGTTCTGCTCAAACAGCCTCCGGTTGTTCTGCAGGACCTCGGCGGCTTCCTTGTTCAGTGGGTCTTCAGGGTTGGGCTCCTGTGGCCGGTATGGGTGGGGGTCAACAAGCCCAAGGGGCAGAAGTCCAACCTCCCCCAGCCCCAGCGCCCCCGCCCCTACTCACCAAGAAGAGATACTGCAGGCCATAAATTATGGAGTTTATCGTAAGGACTGGCTTCCAGTCCTCTCTGTGGGCAGAGAACATCATGATCAGGGGCTGGTGAGTGGGAAGCCGCCAGAGGCCCTGCTGGGACCGGACAGATCAGGCCCAGGGCACGGGACAGTGCGGATGGGAGAAGCTAGCAGGAGGGTGCAGAGAAGGACAGACCATGGAGAAAGCCAAGGTCAAGCCACGAGGAAGAAAATGTGGAGATGAAGAGACAGAGGAACACGCACCACAAGGGGTAAGGAATGGACAGAGACTGGTGTAGTGCAAGGCCATGAAGGGTGCCTGGCAGGCAGGGCTGGGGGGAGCTGTGGAGGGCTAGTGCCCTCACCTGAGAATGTTGAGGCAGACGTTGCCCTCGAGGTCAATGTTGGGGTGATAAACCATCGTCTCACACTTCACCTTGGGGGGGTCATGCGGGTAACCCTGGCCCACCTGGCTCCAGGAAAAGAGAGGGGAGGTGGATAGGTGCCCCAGCAGTGCCTGGCCGGGGCCTCAGCTGTTGCTTCCTCAGCCCAGGGAGCCACCCCGGCCCACCGAGACTCACCTTAAAACTGAACACAAACTTCCCGCTCTTGTAGAAGCCCTGTGAAGGAAGAAAAGAGGAGCTGGGATCCCATCCAGCAAGGCCTGGCAGGTGAACCAGGTATCCCTACTTGAGGTGGGGCCACCCGCCGTGCCTGGGAGTCCAGCTGAGTGTGCCCTCACCTCATCAGGACAGATAACCAGCTTGAAGTTGAGGAGGTCGTCTGGATCTGAGAAGCTGATGTCGCACGTCTTGGGCAGATTCAGCTCGTTTATGTCTAGGTGTTCACAGCAGAAAAGGGAAACAGAGAGAAAGAAAGAGGGAGAGAGAGGAGGGTGTTCAGAGCAGGTGCAGGTGCCAGCAGAGCCTCCATAGCCTCCTCCAGGACCCCAGCTTTGTCCTGGGCAGTGGGACACATCCCCAACCCTCTCCCTGCTCTTTCTGCTCCCCAGTCTCCAGGCAGGCTCTTCTGGATCTACAGAACACCACAAACACACATGTTCAATTGTGACTGTGCTTGAGCTCCTGGCCCAGGGTAAGTTCCAACTCTTCTGAATCCACAGCCCTAAGTCCCAGCACCCAACAGCTGGGTCCCCCCGCAACCCAGCTCCTAAATGCCCCCACTCCCATGTGCCCTCCAAGAGCCTCTGACTACCCCACACCCAGGATCCCTGGCCATAACCCCCACCTTCTAGAGGAGTCCCCAATTATCTGCCCAAACTTAAAGACCTTTTTCCCCCTCCACACCCTAAATCATCCCCCCACCAATCCCTGGTCCCCAAGATCCATATACTCCTCTTTCTGCCTATCATCCCAAACCCAGGTTCCCATCTGACCCCCAGATCTGTTAGTTCCCAGCCCTCCTACCTTACACTGTTCTGACTATAAGATTTCCAGCATCTCCAGCACCATGGTCTAAACCCAACTCTACTCCTATCTCTAATCTCTGGCACCCACTGTCCCTCCCTCCTCCTCCTGTCACCCTAAACCCCAAATTGCCATGTGACGCCCCCCCCAGACTCACGAAACCCAGGCCCCAGAACGTACTTCACCATGCCTGACTCTGATTCCCACTGACCCCAGCATAAAACACTAAATCTCCCACTCGGATCTTCAATCCTCGGCCCCCACTATCCATATCTCCTCTGCCTTTCACCCAGGTTCCCGTCTGACCCCGCAGACTCTCGAGTTCCCGGTCCCCCCACTACACTGCCACCCTCAGATTCTCAGTCCCTAATATCAGACATCTGGCTTTCCAAATACCTTCAGTGCCCCATCCTCGGCCCCGCATCTCTGACCACTTCAGTGACTATTACTCCACCCCTGATCCCTCAATCCCCAGGCCCTGATCTCCGATCCCCACATCCGCGGCCCCCCCATTTCTGACACCTCTGACCCCTGGCGACCGCATTACCCCAAGCCAGGCCCTGACCTCCGACCTCCACCCCCATCCCGACTCCTTACCCTTCTGGATCCGCAGCTGCGCCGCCGACGCCTTCTTGCTGCTGCCCTTGGTGCCGCCCGCCGACTCCTCCTCCTTCTTCTGCTGCTTCAGCGAGAACAGCTTGATCATCCTGCCGCCGCCGCCGCTGCCGCCCCTGCGGGGCCCGGGACCCCGGCCACCCGGCCCCCCGCCTCCGCCGCCCTTGCCGCCTCCGCCACTCGGACCCGCCGCCGCGGCCTCTTCGGCTGCTGCCGCCGCCCTCCCGGCCTGCCGCGCCGCTCCGCGCCCACCGCGCGGCCCGCGTCGGCTCCCGTAGTCGGCTCCGGCCTGGCCCGGCGCCTCGGGCTCACTCGGCAGCACTCGGGCCCACTCGGCTGTTCTCGTGTCCGCTCGGCCCCGCCCCCACCCGCCGCTCCCTCCTCCCCCTCGCCCGCCCCGGTGTCCTCAGGCCCAGCGGCGGCTGCGGACGCGGGGTCCTCAGGCCGCGCCACTGGCCCGTTCACTCGCTCCCTTCCCGAGGGGGTTGCGGCTCGGGTCGGAAGAGGGAGGCGGGGGCTGCGGTGGCGACGGCCGTGTACTGGAGGAGGGTCGGCTTCCGCGGCAGCAACGGCTTCGGCGCGGAGGTCCGCAACGGCCTCGGGCGCCCCACCGCTTCGGATATTTCCGCCGCCTGCCCGCTTCGGCTCTTTCCGCCCGGCCTGCGCTGTGCGCCTGCGCAGCCGCCGACGCCACCGCCCCGCGTTGCTCCGCGATGGGACTTGGGGATCGGGCTCCTTCGGCTAGGCTCGAGTATTTCCGTTCGCGCAGGCCGGGCCGGCCGGTCACTTCCGGGGACGCCCGCGGGTCCAGGGAGTGGGGCGGTGTTGCCGCCATCTTTAAGTGGGGCAGATGCGGGCAGCTTCGCTTGCGGTCCAACCATTCCCACTTGCACTTGTGCAGACGGCGGCGTAGGCGGGCCAAACGAAGTACTTGGCCCCGGGGGTCACAGACTGAGGCTGGGTCAGGTCAGAGCCTGAGCAAGGCAGGGGCGTTGCCTAGAGGATGCGTGGTCCAGCACTTTCGGTGTCCCATCGCAAACCCAAAGAACCCTCTCGCAGAGAGTCTGGTTGAGGTAAACTAACAAATAAAACGTGTATTGTGTCAGAGAGTAGGAAGCACTGTGGAGGTTTACACAGGCTGACACACTTCGGAAGCGCAAAGTGGGGAGGGCCACGCTCTGCGCGGGTCTACAGTTCCAGCGGAGGTGCCCTACGACCTTCCGCCGGCTGCGCGTGAGATGTGGGCGGGGCCAATCTCCCCTCCAATCACGGCTCAGCGTGCCTCGGCGGGGCGGGAGGAAGCGGCGCGGAGCGGTTCTGCGATTTCAGGCTGTCACCAAGGGAACCGTCAGGCGGTGAGCGGTGCCGCGAGGGCTGGTTGGGGCGGGGGGCCGGGCCCGTGGGGGCGGCGGGGGCTCTGTCTCTCAGCCTGCCCGCGTCCGAATGAGGCTCCTGCCGCACGTCACATCCAGTCGCTGAGGCCACGTGCCGCCATCATACGGACCACCAAGGGAGAAGTAGTCGCGGCGGCCCAGTTGGGCCCGCGCTGGGGGTGGGCAGGCTCAGTCCATGGCCTCCTCTTGGCGAACGACCCCGGCCCCATCCTCACGCCAGAGAGTCGGCTCTACGCCTTCGGGTCTTGATTTGGCGTCCATCCCGGCCCCAGCCTCCTCAGAGGCCCTGCCCAGGTATCCTCGGCGTCTTTGGGCTCCGTGGACTGATCCCAGTGGTGTCTGTGCAGCCGCTCCCCCTTTTGCCCCTTTCCATTCTCTTTCCACCATCCCACACGCCCCTCTTCAGCCCTGTAGTTGTCCTAGCTTCACACTCCCAGCTTCGTTGACTCCCCTGAGAGCTGAGTGCTGGAGAGGCGCCGGAGTGAGGATGGGAGATCAGAAGCTGCAAACGGCTCAGGTTTGGGGCTGACAAGATTGCAACCATCCCAGGGTTCTCAGGCTTCAGACATGGCTGGTCCTGGGACCCAGAGGGCTCTTCCAGACTCAATTTCCCTCTCCCTCTCCGTTCTTCTCATCCGCTCTGCTCTTGCTAATTATTTATTTTTGTACAGGACGTGAGGGTTGATGACCGTACTGTGATTTCCAGCCAAAGTCTCAGGGGTGGTTTCTATTGGCCAGCCTGGTTCATGTGCCCATCCCCAGGCCAGTTGCTGAGGCCCTTCCGCTAAGGTCCCATCTGGGGATGGGGAATTAGTTCCCTGGAGAGGACTAGCCAAAGCTTGACTCACATGATCTCTGATCTTGTGGCTTCCCCACCGTCCAGTGGGGGAAGACTTGACCATGCAACAGAATGCTAGGCAAAGGGGGCCATGGTTTCTGGACCAGGGAGGAGGGGATGGCCTCATCCCCCTCATCCCCTCAACGCAGGGGGCTGGGTTGGAAGTGGTGCAGCTAAGCTGTATATTCCTTGTCACCTTCGTGGCCCCCACTCAAGTGGCAGAGAGGCACAGGTGGTTTTGGTGGCAAAGGTGCCTGTGGCCCTTGGGCCTGCAGCCTCTTAGGATGCAACCTAGGGCTTAGCGCATGCAGAGGTCCTGAGGGAAGCTGGGGCCAGTGCCTTGGAGGGACTGGGCAGAACGTGGCGGGTGAGTTGTGAGGGTGGAAGTGCACGTAGGGTTGTTAGCGTAGCCTCTGGGAGCTGACACTGGGAAGAAAGGGTCTGTTTGGGGAACGAGGGAGCAGGAGTAGGCAGGGAAGAGAGGCTGGGTGCCATGGGCCTCCAGGCTGGAGATGGACGGCTGGGATCAGAACAGTGCTGGGGGGTGGAGAGAAGTGGATAGATTCGGGAGGCTGGGCTTCTGGTGAGAATAATTGGATGGACGTGGCATGGGGAGGCTGGGCTTGAGAGTGAACAATATGGGCTCGGGTACAGACAGTCCAGGGACAGGCTGGCTGGGCACTGTTGTAGCTTTCTTAGATGACCAGTACTTAGGTATTCGTCTCCTGGGTTCCTCATATGGCTCTGGCCAAGTGGGGCGAAGTGGTCATTCTGTCCAAGCCCTCAGCCCTTGATGATAGTATGGTAACACTTGGGTTCTCGACCTGCAGCCACATGACTGGATTGCAAAGGTGTGCCTGACCAGCTGCAGAAATGACCTTTCATGGGTGGCCCTCACATAGCTGTTCATGTTGACTTCTTCTCAGAGGGTTGTTTTGGCAGGTGGGTCCATGGACTTCTCAAGGCTTCGGGTGTGGGGCCCTGGCCGGATGTCTCCATGCTTTTCATGTTTGCTGTAATTTTTCTTGTGTGGAATTTCATGTTTTTATGTAGTTGTGTCTGCATAGATTTCCCTTCATGATTAACACGAAGATGATCAAAGATGAGAGCTTTCTTGTTTTCTTTGTTTCAGATTATAAAAGTCATACAAATTGTAAAAAAAATATATATATATATAAGCCATGTTACAGGATTTATAAAGTTCGGCAACATTCCTCCAACCTGAGACCACTGGCTACCTCAGTGTTCATTCATGTGCCTTCCCTGATCTGATTCTCCCAGCCCCTCCCTGCCTTCCTCTCCCCTCTGATTCTACAGATTCTAGACCAGGTTTCCTAGAATCCCCTTTGTGATCAGAGAGAACCGTGAGTGCTGTCAGAGGGTCCGGGGACGCCCCACCCCTGACTGTGCCACACAGGAGTGCCCCTGCATGGGGGGGCTGCTGACTTTGCCAGACGCAGTAGATGCCAGAGTGGCTCTGGTCTTGGCTAGGGCTAGACTAGCGGGGAGGTGGGGAAAAGAGAGGAATGGGGGAGGGGAGGAAGGGGGGCTGAGGCAGGGAGCATGCCTTCTCTAGCATGTCTGTAGGAAGCCTCTGGCCCGGGCTGGCTTGTCTTTCCCTGATACCAGGGCCCAAGTCTTGAGGGGATCAGGGTCACTCAAAGTGGCAGGGGCGAGTCCAGCTGCACTTCTGGAAGAAGCTTGGACATACAGGCCTAGAAGGGCTGTTCTGGAACCTCTAGGCCAAGGGCAGGCTGACACCCTCCTAGAGTGGGGTTTAAGTCCCAAGCCAGACCCTGCTGCATGAAGATGCCCTCTTTGGAACTGCCTTTCTCCATTGTCTCTGGCACTTACAGCACCCATGGGTGGAATGGGGGACTGTGTCAAGGCCTGAACAATAGGATGGAAGGGGAAGATAGGGCAAAAGAAGCAGTGGCACAGGAAGAGGTTGGAGGGTTCCAGAGACACCGGCCCTCAAGTCTGCAGGACACTGAACTGGAACTGGCAGTATCTGTCCATCTTCATGAAAGCCGCTGCCAGCTGTGCTTCCTGTGACTAGTTACTGAACACACGATAGATACCTCCCACTGTGCGGGAGCCCTTAGGGGCTGTGCGTGGGGCCAGGGAGGGAGGAGAATGGTGCATGATGGCAACGATCACCAGAGGGCTGGGGAACTGGCCTGGGGCTTGCAGCCACCTGCGGGTCTCGGACTGGCTGGAGTCTGCGGGGAACAGAGGAAAGCCTTGAAAGAATATGGATTCCCAGGTAAAGCCTTGTAGCTTTTACACCTAAGAAATGGCTCCCTAGGTTTAAAGTTTCATAAACACATATCCTCAGGCCGGCTCTGGCATGCTGGACACCAGTTTGATACTTCAGCACCTGATGATACTGGCTGCCAGTCCACGTCCTCATCTGGCAGTTGGCTTGGCCGGCAGACGTGTGGGTCGAAGGGAACGTGGGCAAATAGTACAGGAGCCGTGGTGCAAGGAGGGCACCCCACAGATGTGGCCAGGCTCTGCTAGGGGCCACATCTGCAGGGGGCTCTGGCTCTTACAGGAATCATGTGGTTGCAAAGAAAGTGGTGGACCTGTGGGGTGGGCAGAGAGGGACCCAGGCAAGTGGGGAGGAACTGAATTGGTGCAGACCCAGACGCAGGTTCCGTGTACTGTTTATTGAGCACCTACTGGTCACCGGGCCCTAAGAGGGCTGGCTTGTACCCACGTGATCACAGGCCTCACAGCATCCCCGCGAGGTAGGTGTTCTGCAGCCCCCCCCCCCCCCCCCCCCCCCCCGCACGAAGGAACGAGGTGAGGGCGGAGAGTGGGTGCAGCGCGCACTGGCTACTCTGCACTGTGGACGCGCTGATGCTGGATGAGCTTGGTGCTCTGGTGGAAGCAGCGGCCACAGTCCTGGCAGGCAAAGGGCTTCTCGCGCCGGTGGGTGCGCAGATGCTGCGTGAGCGTGGGCCGCTGGCGGAAGGCTTTGCCGCACTCGGGGCATGCGTACGGCCGCTCGCCCGTGTGGATGCGCCGGTGCTGCGTGAGGTTGGCGTGCTGCCGGAAGCTCTGGCCGCACTCCGGGCAGGCGAAGGGCCGCTCGCCTGTGTGGATGCGCTGGTGCTCGGTGAGCCGCGAGACTTGCGTGAAGCCCAGGCCACACTCGCTGCAGTGGTAGGGCTTCTCGCCGGTGTGCGTCCGCTGATGGCGAGTGAGCTTCAGACGCTGGCTGAAGCGCTGGCCGCACTCAGGGCAGGCGAAGGGCTTTTCCCCCGTGTGCACGCGCAGGTGCTGCGTGAGCGTCGGCCGCTGGCGGAAGGCCTTGCCGCACTCCGCGCAGGCGAAGGGCCGCTCGCCCGTGTGGATGCGCCGGTGCTGCGTGAGGTTGGAGCGCTGCCGGAAGCTCTGGCCGCACTCAGCGCAGGCGAAGGGCCGCTCGCCGCTGTGCACGCGCCGGTGCTGCAGCAACACCGAACGGCGGCCGAAGCGCTCACCGCACTCCACGCAGCCGAAAGACTTGTCGCCTGTGTGCACCGCCTGGTGCTCCAGCAGCACGGCGCGCCGTGCGAAGCTCTCGCGGCACTCGCTGCACGGGAAGGGGCCTGGGGGCTCCGGCGCGCCAGGAGGCGCCGGGGGTGCCGCGCCGGGGCCCGGAGGGTCGCCGTGGATACGCTGGTGCTGCAGCAGGTTGGAGCGCTGCCGGAAGCTCTGGCCGCACTCGGCGCAGCGGAAGGGCTGCTCGCCCGTGTGCACGCGCCGGTGCTCCTCCAGGCGCGCGCTGCGTACGAAGCCTTGGCCGCAGTCGCCGCACACGAACGGCCGCTCCTCGGTGTGCGTGAGCTGATGGCGCAGCAGGTGCGAGCTGCGGCTGAAGCTGCGGCCGCATTCGCCGCACACGAACGGCCGCTCTCCCGTGTGTATCTTCTGGTGCCTCAGCAGGTTGCTGCGTTGGCTGAACACCTTCCCGCACACGTCGCAGCGGCCACCTCGCACGGCTCCGGCGCCTGTGCTGGGGCGACCTCGACCCCGGCTCCGGCCCCTGGCGGCACGCCAGCGAGCGGCGGCCAGCCCGGGGCCCACGCCCTGGCGGGGATCGTACGTGGGGTCCTGCTCACCTCCCGGGTCGCTGGAGAGCACCAGCGCGTGTGAGAAGCCACCTTCGAGGGAGGGTGACTCGAGTCGGCCCGTGAGGCTGGCCACGCCGAGGTCCCAGGGGAGGTGGATGTGGGGGCTCACAGTGTCTGGGCCAGCAGAGATACTGTCCATCTGGAGTGTAAACCCTGCATTGCAGAAGGGGATCCACTCATTCATGACAGAGAACCCACTTGTGCCCAGAGCCACTCCAGCCCTGCAGAAACGGTGCGAACTAGAGCGACCTGAAACTGACCAAGGAGGCAGACAGAAGTGACGTGGGCAGGGGCAGGGGTTGTATCTGTGCAGGCTTCCCTAAGGAGGTGACAATAGGACAGACCCTTGCAGGAGGTGGAAGACTGAAAAGCTGGGGACAGGCCCTCCAGGTCTGACTTAAGTTTGTAAAAACCGCCTTTCTGGAAGGGCTGTAGGGCAAAGGTGGGGCAGGTGGCCCTTGCACTGTCCGGGTGGGTGATGATGGTTTCCACAAATGCAGAGCTGTGGGTGGGTCTGAGGGAGGCTGGAAGTGGAGCCAACAGGAAGGGAATAGGGCAGGGGACAGAGGCAGGGAATGCAGGCAACCAGGACTTTTGTCTGCCGTGCCTTCCTTGAGATGCCACGGGACTCCCGAGGGACAGAGGGCACGCACAGGCTGTGGGGCACAGGAGTCGGGCCCAGTCTGCCGGGAAAGGTGAACACGGGTGCCGTGGTGTGTACATGGCCTATGGAGTCCTGGGCCTGCATGTGATCAGACAGTGGTGGGTGTCTGCGGATAAAAGGAGCAGGTTCCAGCCACGCTGTGAGCACTCCATCATTAGATGTTGGGGAAGGGAGGCGATGTGAGCACAGGCAACGGAGAAGAAGGAAGTTAAAGCAAGGAGCCTGGGAGACCAGCAGGGGCTTCAGTAGGTGACAGAAGACCTATCAGATGCCAAAGAAAACTCAGAAAAATTATACTGTGTCAGAGGAAATCACCTGTGCACAGCAAAAAGCCTCCGAGTCAAAAGACGAGTGACGAACTGCGAACTCTCCAGAGGCAAGGGACTAAGTAACCAGAGTAAGGTGCGCCGGTCAATCAGCAAGAAAGACGGACAGCCTGACAAACGCGGGGAAAGGGCAGGAAAAGGAAGGCAATGTCACGGACGCTTAAATTCCGTGAAATATGCTCAGGCGCCTCCTAGGAAGCAAAGTGCGTATTAGCGCCGTGCTCGTTACCGTCTCCACAGCCTAACTCCAGGAACCCAAGCGTTCGTGTGCACCGCTCGCCAGCATAAACAGAAGCCAGTGTGGCAAAGGGCATCAGAATGTCCAATTTCCCACCCTCTGATCCAACAGTTCCACGTCTAGGTACTTCTCCACCAGTTGTGTTCCCCCTGTGTGAAATGGTCGGTGTAGGAGGTTTCTCAGTTCTCACTGAAAAGTAACCCAAAGGAATGTCAGTAGGGGCCTGGATGGATAAACAAGTGTGTCCACGGTGAGCCCCAGTGGGCTCTATGCAGCTGTCCAAAGAGGAGGGCGCTCGCTGCTGTGTGTTCAAGTGGGAAGATGCACGAAAAATGTCAGGCGTGGAACAGTGTGAAAATTAAGCATCCACGTGTGTTTTAAAAACGGGAAATGAGTATGCACCTGAATTTGTGTTTGTTCTTCTATGCAGAGAATCTTTCTGGAAGTACGCACAAAAAACCGGTGATGTTGGCTGTTGGGGTGCAGGACCATGTGATACAGGCAGGAGAGGGGCATTCCACTGTATACTCCCTTGTGCTTTCTGAATTTTCTAACACGTGAATGTCCTAGCAATTCAAACCGTTCTCCTGATAAAAGCACTGGCTGCACAGAAGATGTTCGGTTGAGGGCAAGGGGAGCAGCCAGGAGACCTTATGGGGAGGCCAAGGTGGCTGAGGTGAGCTGTGGTTGTCTGGGGAAGAGTGCAGCCTGAGGAAAGAATGGGGCCGCAGAGAAAGAACCCGCCAAGGAGCCTGGGGTGGAACTGCCGGTGTGGCTGGAGAGAGCAGAGAGACTGTGGGGCTGTGGGCTGAGAGAAGCAGGTCCAGGCTGGAGTGTCAGCTACACAGCATGAGGCAAGCCTGGCCAGCCAGCTGAAGACTGAAACAGCAGAAGGGGCATGTATCACATGCTACTCTCTCAGCTTCAACATGCGCAACTGACAGACAGAACATAAGAAAAGAGCTTTCAAAATACGTGGGGCAGCTCCAAAGCAAGAAAGGACGGTGAGACTCAGGAATCCAGAGCCTGGTGCATGGTGCTCTACAGTGCCAAGGCTGTGGAGACTGAGGATGAGAGCCAGGCTCTGTCATGAAGTTGGGGGTTGAGGACATAGCCTGGGTGAGCCCAGTCCATCCATGGACCTTTTGCTTTCAGTGAGGCCACAGAGGTATCTCCACTGAATGGCTAAGGGCCCAGATGAGCCTTCCAGTTGAGTTATGATGGACCCTGTGGCAGTCCCTCACCCAGGATGATGCTTAGGGCAGGGACAAACAAGAAGCCCCCAGAGCTGAGCAGGGCAGGCTGTCCACGTGCACCCAGTGGGAGCATTCACACCCAAGGAAACCAAGCTAACTAACAAGGCCGGAAATAACATAAGGTACTTGCGAATTCTCAAAGGATGGATCAGTATCCACAAAACAAGGACGCTATGAAAAAAGAATGAGTTTGGATCCTTGTTGATAAAAAACAGCAAATGGGGACTTCTGGGGAATAATGGTATCTATTTAAATTTGTTTCATTGTGCAACAACATTAAAAACCACCATAAAGGTTTTGTTTTATTCTTTCAAGGCATAAAATCTACAGGGATGAAGAGAAGAAGAGAGGAAACAAACAAATCCCTGATATTTTCTACTCTGGAAAGCAAAATGGGCAAATGGTAACTGTACAGCAGACTGGAGAAGGCGAATAGTAAGTCAGCAGTGGGGAAGACTGAAAGAAATCAACCCGTTTTACCGCAGACGTTGAAAAGTTCAGGAGCTGGAGGTACCAGGTACCTCTGGCCACGCAGGTGAAGGGGCAGGGGCACTGGGCGGGCTGGGGAAGCTGTTTCAGAAGCTGAAGCTGAAGCTGGGCAGGGCTACTGCAGGGAACAGCCCTGGGTCTGTCTGCACAGAATTCTGAGGAAGCGGTGGGCAGTGCTGTAGCTGTGACTTTTGGACCTCCTCTCACTTCCTGGCAAAGGGCTGGGTTGAGGGCGGGAGAGGACCCTGAGGGAGTCAAGGGAGTTAAGGGAAGTCACACTGGGCGCCGCGACGCTAGCCTCTCTCCCGGGATGCTGGCAAGAGGCTAGGAGTGCCTTCTTAGAACACTCAGAGGAGAGAACTGAAGATCCTCACAGCAGGGGTACCTTCAAGCAGCCCAGCCAGACTGCCCTACGACTGCTTCAGTGGCATCCACTCATGCTCCACCCACCCACTCACGTTTCCCAAGAAGTGAGTCTCCTTGGGGAGTGAACCCCTCACCCTCCCCTTCCAGCCCTGATTTGTTGTCCTGGCCGATAAGACCCTCACCCATCTGCTCAGAGCTGCCGGAGGGACCAGAGACCACACTGGGAGAAGAAAGCTTAAAAAACAAGTTATCGTTATCCTCAGAGAAATAAGGAAAGATGTTACAACTGTAAGAATAACAGAAAGTGGTTAAAAAAAATGAACGATCAGGGAAAGAAGACACTCCTGGAAATTAAAACTCTGCTAGCAGATATGCAAATCTCAAAGGAGGGTCTGGAGGCTATAACTGAAGACATTTTCTGGAAAACAGAGCAGAAAGAAAGGGATGGGGAAATCGCAGTGAAGAGAACATTGGAGGATCTGTCCTAGAGTCCAATAACCAAGTAACAGGCATTCCAGAAACAAGAGAACAGAACAGTGGAGGGGAAGGAAATCAAAGAAACAATGCAAGCCAGTTTCCCACAGCTGAGAAATGTGAATTTCAAATTTTAAGGGCTCACCAACAGTGGTGCTAAAAAATGTTTTGACCCGGTTTCACAGCAATTAAAAAAAAAATGTTTTGAGAGAGAGTTAATAAAAAGAATTCTTCAGCCAAAATTCAGTGTAATACAAATGTGTTTCAGATATGGACCATAGCTCAGAACTTTACTTCCCACACCAGAGTTCACAGGAAGGTTCACCAGAACAAGGGGGTGGGACTTCGCGGGTGGCACAGTGGTTAAGAATCCGCTTGCCAATGCAGGGGACACGGGTTTGATCCCTGGTCCGGGAAGATGCACATGCTACGGAGCAACGATGCCCGTGTGCCACAACTACTCAGCCTGCGCTCTAGAGCCCGCGAACCACAACTACTGAGCCCGCGTGCTACAACTACTGAAGCCCATGTGCCTAGAGCCCGTGCTCCGCAACAAGAGAAGCCTCTGCAATGAGAAGCCCGCCCACAGCAACAAAGAGCAGCCCCCGCTTGCCGCAACTAGAGAAAGCCCGCACGCAGGAACGAAGACCCAACGCAGCCAAAAAAATAAAATAAATAACGAGGGAGTAAACCAACGTAGAGAAGGGGTCCAGGGAACAGGGAGCCTGGCCGACGGCAGACCATTGTAGGCTGCGTGGCTGAGGTGGACAGCACAGGGCATCTGGCCTGAGAGCAGGGAACCGCTCTGTCTTGCCCAGTCCCCACCCTGTGTCAAGGTCCCCCCTGTCTGCCTACCCTGTGTACTGACTGCTGTCCCTCTCTGCCCCGCCCCCCAATCAGTGGGATGCAAGCCCAGAACCCGGGGGCCATCCAGGGTGCCGGGGCTGGGAGCGGACATGGGGAGCACAAGTCCTGCTCTCAGGAGGTTTTACTGGGGGCGGGGAGCAGCAGCTGGAGGGGCCATGAGGTTAGTGGGGGGGCTTGGCTCTCGCGGGCAGGAGATGCTAAAGCAGGTTGAACGCTGCAGGCGATGGAGGAGCTCGGGGAATGCCGGAGTAAGGGGCCCATCTGAGCAGGGCCAGGAGTGGGATGGTCCGGGGTGGTGCTGCCCGTGTGGAGGGCCCCATATAACTCACCCGGGGAGAAGATGCTCCCAGCTTCCTCCTGCCACAGGGCCTCAGGGTGCTCCGTCCATGAGGACCCCTCAGGCCCAGTCTCACTATGGGGAGAGGCCTGGTCCAGCGCCACGCCACAGCCCTGAAACCACAGTGGTCACTGCTCGCCTGTGTCTGGCTAGGCCCAGGGAGGGACCTACCCAACCCCCACCCACTGAGGCTCCCAGAGCAGGGGCTCACCTGGGCCTCCTCAGGTAGGACAGTGGAAGTGGCCTCCTGGGGGTTGGTTAGAGGCCCAGAGTCCAGAAGCTCTGGAGAGGAAGGGTGGGGTCAGGCAGCTCCAGGGGCTCCCCACCCTGCTGCCCTCTTCAGTGGTGTGCCAGGTGCTGGGGTCCAGATGGGGCAAGAGCCGGGTGTAGACTTGGGGCTGGGCATGTCAAGGGGGCTCTAAGTGTCCACACAGGAATGGCAGAGAGTGTGGGTGGGCATGTCTGACACTTGTCTGGGAGGCGGATGAGAGAAGGGAATGCTCCCCAGCACTTTGGGGTCCTCCCTCCGCTGTGCCCACTCATACTCCAGCCTTCTGTCTGCTCTCGAGCAATCGGCTAATGTCCCCCAATGGATCTCCTCAGGGAGTGAACCCCACATGCCTCCCACACCAGGAAACCCCAATAGTCAGCTCCATGCCAGCTGAGAACATGGAAGGAACCACAGTGGTGACAGTCGGGCTTGGCACGTGAGGGATAATGACGGCCACTGGCTGGGCGGGATGTGGGGACCGCCAATGCATGGGCACGTTACCTACCCTCACCTGGATCCTCTGTAACCCCAGGCTCCTCTTTCACCCATAGGCCCAGTGACGACTCCTGTGTGGCCCCACGGGGCATCTCAAGTCCAGGTTCTGGAGTCCGAGGTGTGATTTGAGGGAGGGGCTGGAAGTCGGAGGGCTCCATCTTCTCTGATAGCACCTCCTGGCCTTGCACCTGGACTGTGACCTGGGGAGGTGCCCCCCACCATCAGGAGCTCAGGTAGGGAGTTCATGGGCATCCACCCTATCTTGGGACCCCAGGGGTCCTGACTGACTAGGTCCTCTAAGGACCCATGTCCACCAGGGACAGAGCAAGGAGCAAAGGGACCACCTGCAGTTGCTCTCCTGCTGCTGACACCCACCCTCTCTCCCCACCCTGCATCCCTTGTCCATGCCTCTAGGTGATGGAGGGATGGGCCAGTGATGCTGGCCCTGGAACCCCGTCTGCCCTCACACAGGGTCTGCTGCAGGTGACCACTTCCAAACCACAAGGGGCCAGTGTCTGGCTGAGCATAGCACCTCCCAGGAAGAGGCGGAGATGCATACTGTTCCAGCCCCGACCCCAGGGCCACTGACTCACCCATCTCCGGGGCCCTCCTGGCTCCCGGCGCAGGCCCTCGACCAGGGCAGCGGCCTCCTCAGGGCTGCCTGGCTGCTGTCCCCGCACGCGGGCCTGGATCTCGGGGGGCAGCGCGCCCAGGAACTGCTCCAGCACCAGCAGCTCCAGCATCTGCTCCTTGGAGTGCACCTCGGGCCGCAGCCACTGGCGGCAGAGTTCACGGAGCCGGGCCAGCGCCTCGCGGGGACCCACTGCCTCCTCATAGTGGAAGTGCCGGAAACGCTGTCGTGCAGCCTCTGGGCCGGGATCCCATGGGGCGGCTTCACCCTCCTCCTCAGACTCCTCCAGCTTCACCGTGATGGGCCCCTCATCTTCTGGGGGTGCGTGGCCCGGGGAGCCCAGAGCTGTGGGCCTCATTGGAAAGACCAGGCTGGAGCTCTGAGGCCAGTGTCTCTCCCTGGGGGAGGAATGGGATGAGGCTGCTGCGATGAGGACAGTGGTGACAAATGCTTATTGAGAGCCTACTGGATGCTGTGCTGTTGAATCCCGAGACCTGCCAAGTGGAAGGAGGATGAGGAAACTGAGGCACAGAGGCAGTCCCGTACCAAGGAGCTGTGGGGCTGGTGAGCCCTCGGTGAGCCTCTCTAGCTGGGCCTGTGCAGAGTCTCTGGTAGCCCCCTGTTCCTGGGCTGCTTCTTAGGCCCAGAAGGCACCTCGTCTCTCCCCCAAAGCCCATGCTTCTTCTACATGCACCACCTAACCCCTGCTCTGCATCCCTCTCTCTACCAGGTGAATGCCACCTACAACATCCACTGCCTAGGCATCTACACCACTACCACCCCTCCCCCACCAACGCCAGTCTATCACTGCAGCGTCCAGTCTCCCGCCTTGTCTCTCAGACCACTCCCCTCCCAGCGCGGTTTCACAGCGCAGCCTGACTGCACCTGCCCCACCCCACACCTGTGCAAGGTCACCTGTGTGGCCCAGCACCCAGACACCATTCTCCCCCCATTCAGCCCCGTTCTCTGAGCCCGACTTGTCACAACACGCAATGCCCCACTATCTCCTCCGTTTCCTGATTTAGGTGGGACTAGGAGGTAACAGGGGAGTTTTCAGAGGGGAGCTACAAAGGAGCCAAGACCACTGGACTCGGAGCCTGCAAGGAAAGGCGGAGATTCTGCCCAGCCTATTTGCCACGTAACCTCGGCTTGTCGCTGTGCCACTGTGAACCTCCGTTTCCCCCACCCCCACCACACTCGCGCTGCTCCTTATGCAACTGGAGGTACAGTGCAACCTTTGTAGAGAGATCTGAGTTTATTAAGGAAGTGGATTCGATTTCGAGGGCCGCCTGATCCCGTGGGTCTAACCTTCGCTCCTCAAGGTTCCAAGTCAACCTGAAACCCCAGGAGACGGCTGGGCCTCCGTAATCTGGCCGGCCCTGCGGAGCTCCCTGAACTACATTTACCAGAAGCCTGGGCGGGCACCTTCTGCTTTAGGGAGCCGGGACAGGTCCGGGTGCCGCCATGGCAACTGGGGGCGGGGACTCCACATTCTGTCGCCGTGGCAACGCGCAGTGATTGACGAGCCGCGCGCGACAGCGCTGGGCCCGGCCACGGGGGACACCCAGGCCCCTGTCCTACGCTCCCGATCCCGCTGGGCCGCCGCCCCCGTCCCCGCCCGAACCTTCCCGGTTGAGGGGCCCCCGCCCTCACCTCCGCGCTCAGCGGGCCGCTCCGCGCTCCTGAGCATGCGCACTCGCCGACCTTCCCTCCCCGGCCGGACTATGTCTCCCAGAACGCTCCACGCACCAGCCGGAAGCGCCTCCTTGCCCGTCCCCCACCCTCGCCTCAGCTTCCACCCTCCTCCCGCTGTGCCCCGGGGCAGCGTTGTTCGCAACGATCGGGTCACATTCCGGGCCGCGTCTTCCCGCGCTCCCAGCCTCAAATCCAGGCGTCCAGGCGCCCGTCGACGCGAGCAAGCTTCTCAGGGGGTAACGGGCGGCCGCACCGCCTTCCCAACCGCGCATGCCGCCACCAAGTCTCCCTGAATTCTCTACGGGGCTTCCGGGGATTAGCAGGACTCTGCACCAATCACGGCCCTCGCTAGGACGCCGTCAGCCCCTGTCTCCATGGCAACCCCCTGTGGAGACCCGGCCACCCCTTCCACCGCCCTCAGGACCGCAAGCGAGCCTCTCCCACTTTCGCCTTGGAGAGAGGCTCGGCCGGCTCCTGTCCGGGAAGAGGTCAGCCAGTCCTCCGCGCGCGTGCGAGGCGCGATGACAGTTTTTTTTTTTTTTTTTGCGCTCGTGGGCGGTAGGCGGGCTCGGGCGTCTTCATGGTAACCAGTGGGCCGTGCGGGCGGTTTCCAGGGCAACCCTGGGTACCGGCCGGCGTCTGAAAGAGGATGGGAGAGGTAGGCTGAGGGTAGAGATGCGGAGCGAGAGAGACAGGACAGACAGACACAGACTCGGGGGCGCGGAGAGTTGTGAGGAGAGACAGTGAAAGTAAGTGAACAGACACAGGGACAGAGACACGGGCAGGACAGAAAGAGACCTAGGTCAGAGAGTCAGGGCTGGGCAGACATGTGTGTCAGAACAGTTAACAAGAGGGAGAGCGATCAGGGCGGGATGGAGAGGAAAGGAGAGACAAAGATTTACAGCGACAAGACGTGCAGCTCGAGATTCAAGGGACAGACAAGGATCAGGAGTACAGAAGCAAGAGGGGAGAAAGGGACAGACATTAGAGATACAGTAAAGTGGATCGAGAGTTTTTAAAGACTCAGAGAAGGGTGACAGCAAGAAGAGAGAAAGACGGAGCGGGAGGGACACATGTTAAGAAAACTTATCCAAAACTTGCCATTAAGAGAAAAAAAGATGACTGGAAGAACTAGCACCGTCTCTACCAAGCCTGCTTCAGGTCATCTGATTCCCTAAGTGAAGCAACTTTTTTTTAAGTTAACTGCTTTTGATCAGAGTCCAGATACTGTGAAGTTAGATGCTAACGAGTAAAAGGTTGATAGGTTGTAAATGCTTTCTGTCCAGTAGAGAAGAGTACCCCAAGTTTTTTGTCACCCAGTAGGACACTAAGCAGGACACTAAGATGCCTGCCCACTGCCCCATGGTGCACTACCGATCCGACTTGGAGCTTTTATTTCACTGTTCGTTCTTTCACCCTTTCTGTTTTCCTTCTCTCTCATCTTCCCGGAACCACCTATGTCATCCTGCTAGTTGCCACCGGAGGTAAATAGATATTTGACGTGTGCTCACGGAGTTTGTTTTTATCTGTTTCGAAAATTATATCTTGACAGTCTAAAGGGAACCATTTCTCCGGAATGGGGGACAGACAGGGAGAAAGAGAAAACAGTGAGACAGACCCAGGAAAGGAAAGGAGGTAGCGAGGATGGTGGGAAAGAAAGAGACCAGGTCTAGGCGCGGAGGCTCCGGTGGGCCTCGCAGTGAGCTGGGCCCTGACTCATCCCGCGTGGGGAACGCGAGCCTCAGCCGGGCATGAGGGTGACCCTCGGGGCGGCTGGTCCAGTCATGGCAGACTACTGGAGGTCACAACCAAAGAAATTCTCTGATTACTGCAGGTGCTGGATTGCGGACAATAGATCTAGTGTTGAAGTTCATGAAAGAGGAAAGAATCATAAGGCAAATGTGGCAAAGAGGATCAATGAGATTAAACCGAAAAGGCTGGATAGGGCAAAGGAAGAAGAGAAGGCATCAAAGGAGTTTGCTGCAATGGAGGCAGCTGCCCTGAAAGAATACCAAGGGGATTTGAAAAGCCTTGGCTTAGAGTCAGAAACTTCAGAGCCAAGCATATCACCAGTAACCAGCACTATCCCATCCGCCTCTGCATCAAATCAGCAAAAGAAAAAAAGAAAAAAAAAGACCCTTCAAAGGGCAGATTGGTAGAAGGCATAACCTCTGAGGGTTACCATTACCATTATGATCTTATCACAGGAGAATCTCAGTGGGAGAAACCTGAAGGATTTCAAGGAAATTAAAAAAAGACGGCAGTGAAGACTGTTTGGGTAGAAGGTTTAAGTGAAGATGGTTATACCTATTATTATAATTCAGAAACAGGGGAATCCGGATGGGGAAAACCTGATGATTTCATTCCACACTCTGGCGATCTGCTTTCTAGTAAAGTCAATGAAAAGTCACTTGGTACCCAAGAAGAGTCCAAATCATCAGATTCACGTTGTGATTCTGATGTGGAACACCAAGCAGAAAAAGGGGGGGGGGACAGGGGGACTTCCCTGGTGGCGCGGTGGTTAAGAGTCCGCCTGCCGATGCAGGGGACACGGGTTCGAGTCCTGGTCCAGGAAGATCCCACATGCTGCGTAGCAACCAAGCCCATGCGCCACAACTACTGAGCCTGCACTCTAGAGCCCGCGAACCACAACTACTGAGCCCGCGTGCCGCAACTACTGAAGCCCGCGCGCCTAGAGCCCGTACTCCGCAACAAGAGAAGCCACCGCAATGAGAAGCCCGCGCACAGCAATGAAGAGCAGACCCCGCTCGCCGCAGCTAGAGAAAGAGCGCGCAGCAACGAAGACCCAACGCAGCCAAAAATAAATAAATCGAAGAAAAAGGGGGGGGAAGGAGAAGTCTCTACAGAAATGCAAAAGCTAGAAGTAAAGTTTAAAGAAAAAAAATAGTGATAAAGGAACTGAATCGGAAACACAGAAAGAAAAAATGCCCAAGGTTATTCATCAGGTCCAAATGAAGAAAAATCCAAAGCTCATAAAAAATCAGACCCATATGGAAGGACTTCCCTGGTAGTACAGTGGTTAAGACTCCATGCTCCCAATGCAGGGAGTCCAGGTTCTATGCCAGGGAACTAGATCCCCTATGCCAAAACTAAGACCTGCCATAGCCAAAATAAAAGTAATAATAATAAAGAAAGCTCCTCTGTGTTTGTTTTACATTACTTAATGCTAACATTTTAGACTTATTCTGAATGTATTTTATGTGAATTTAAAATAACTCTTTTTTCGTGTGAAATTGATTTTTGTTCCTAAAATGGAAGCCTACCACATTGCATTGTAATACAGTGTATTATGTTCAGTGTCTAAAAATTGCTAATTACCTCATAATATAAGATGCTATGTATCTGTTATTTAAAACATGGAAAAGTAAGGCCGTTATTCAATTCTTACTCGTATGAATATACTTGTACTGCACTGAAAATGCATTACTTTTTTAAAAAAATATTTATTTATTTGGTCTCACCAGGTCTTAGTTGCGGCAGGCAGGCTCCTTAGTTGTGGCATGCGAGCTCTTAGTTGCAGCATGCATGTGGGATCTAGTTCCCTGACCAGGAATCGAACACAGGCCCCCTGCATTGGGAGCATGGAGTCTTATCCACTGCGCTACCAGGGAAGTCCCGAAAATGCATTACTTTTGCACACTGATATTATTCAAGAAATAAGAATTAGACCACGTAAGAGAAGATTCACAACCTGTGATAATTCAGTTCTGAGGATCCTGTCAGAAGGCTGATGTAGAAAGTGTATGTATATTGGCTTACCTTACTCAATTTAAGGTCAAGGGCCAAGAACTGGGACTGCAGCTCAGGTCATGCTTAATATGGAATGAAAACTGGACCAAAGATGTATCTGCCTGGTTCAATGTAAAGCGGCAACCATTGCTTAAGCATTTTCACCTTGAGCCAGGCACTATGGTAGGAACTGGAGATGTAAAGGTGAGCAAGACATATCTCTGTTCTTCATGGCTTCTCATTCTGACGGAGTCCTTTTTTCCCTAGTCGTGCGCTCTGTGTAGAGGCCTTACATATACTGGAAAATATTATTTAGGGTTTATTTAAAACTATGGAGATGAAGTCTTGAACAAAAATAGTAAGTTCTCTGACTTCAGTAAAATGTTTTGGTGTTCCTTTAGAGAAATTGGAAAGTTCCCATTTCCTGGTTAAATTTCTTAAAAAGTGGAATTTTCTTATTTAATCCATTTGAAGTAGGTACCTTCCCTTTATTATTCCAAATTCTTAAAATTATATGTTTTTGTAAACTGTACAGTAGTTAACATTTGATAGTAAATATTTGTCTTTTTAAGGTTACTAGTGTACATGTAAGAAAATTATAGGTTATTAAAAACTTTATGAAAGAAGAAAAAAAAAAGAAAGAAAAGAAAGAGACCGAAAGTAGATGGCAGGAAAGACAGGAGAGAGAAATTAATAGGCGAGAAATCCGGCCTTGGGCAGAGGCGGCCTTGGGCGACCCCGCCTGGACTCTGTGCTCGGCGGCCTCGTCGCTGAACTACGTTTCCCGGCAGGCCCTGGGTGACTGGACGCAGCACCTAGAGCGCCGTCGGGGGCGGGGCCCACGCTGCCTCCTCCAATCCCAGCCGTCGCCCGGCAACCTCCGCCTCCGCCGACAAGATGGAGGCTGGATTCGGCCGCCGCCGGGAAGCGGCGCCTGAAGCCGGAGATGGGGAGGGGCCGCAGCTCAGTCGGCCCACTTGAGGAAGCCGGCCTACGTCGCGGTCCGGAGGTGAGAGCGGTCGGGCGCGCGGGAGCCCGGGCTCCGGGGGGAAGGGGCCGAGGCGCCTATACCCTTGGTTCCCGTGGGGGGAAGGGAACGGACGCGCGCGAGGGGGCCAATCGGGGGCCTCCGGCGGCCCCGCGGCCTTCTGGGAAATGTAGTCTCGAGCCTTCCCCGTGGGCGGGCTTGGGGACTTTCTAGAGCGGGAGGGTGAAAATGAATGAATTTAATTTAAAATTGTGGGTGAGGGACTTACCTGGTGGTGCAGTGGTTGGGAATCGAACCCTGGTCGGGGAAGATCCCACATGCCGCGGAGCAGCTAAACCCGTGTGCCACAACTACTGAGCCCGCGTGCCACAACTACTGAAGCCCGCGCGCCTAGAGCCCATGCTCGTCAACAAAGAGAAGCCACCGCAGTGAGAAGCCCGCGCACCTCAACGAAGAGTAGACCCCACTGGCTGCAACTAGAGAAAGCCCGTGCCGTGCACAGTTACGAAGACCCAACGCTGCCAAAAATATATAAATAAATAAATTTATTAAAAAAAAAATTGTGGGTGAGCAGGCGAAGGCAGGCATGTGGAGAGGGAGGGATGGGCGCGTGAGTGGTTCGGAATTTGGGGCCTCCTTCCAGGCAGGAAGGCTTTCCCATGCCCACCTCCCCTTTAAGCCAGGTGCAGCCCATGGGTCCCTGAAGGTACTCTTCCTCGGTGCCATAGACACTCCCAAAATACAAAGACCTGTCAGGTACTGTCCTTGTTTTTCACACGCATTCCTTCAAAAAAAAACTTTTACTGTTTTGATCAGGTGCTACTTTCACATGGTTTGAAATGCAAAAGGGACAAAGCGAGAAGCCTGCCTCCATCACTATACTTCATTAAATAATTCAGTCAGCAAGTGACTGTTGGATGCCTCCAAAGTGCCAGGCTCTCTTCCTGGGCCTGGAGACCCAACAGAGTGCTCAGTAGGTACAGTTCCTGCCCTCAGGCAATGTGTGATGGATGCATAATAAAATATAGGTGGGGAGGGCCTCTCTGATTAGGTTACATTTGAGCAGAGACCTGCAGAAGAGGGAATAAGCCATGCAGATTACAGGGAAGGGCCCCCAGTGGGCCAAAGAGCCACAGTAGCTAAGGCCCCTGGGTCGGGAGTGCCCTTAGTGTGCCCTGAGGATGTGGTCAGGAGTACGCAAAGGACAAAGGAGGCCCTTGACAAAGCTGGTGATGATTGTGGCTTTGACTCAGAGGTGGGAGGCCTGGGAGGGCTCTGAGCAGAGGAACCACTGTTTTGTTTGTTTGCTTTTTTTTCTTTGCCGCGCCGTGCGGCTTGCTGGGATCTTAGTTCCCTGACCAGGGATTGAACCTGTGCCCCCTACAGTGGAAGCCCGGAGTCCTAACCGCTGGACCGCCAGGGAATTCCCCCCCGACTTGGTTCTTAGAGAATCATTCCGACTGCTGTGTGGAGAACCACCTTCCTCCTGTATCCCCAGGTACTCCACGGTGGTGGCAAGAATTAAGGAGGTTACCTTCTGTGTTAATTTCCTGTGATTCCTTTACCATATTACTACAAGCTTTAGTGGTTTATTTATTTTTAAATTAATTAATTAATTAGTTTATTTTTGGCTGCATTGGGTCTTCGTTGCTGCATGTGGGCTTTCTCTTGTGGCAAGTGGGGGCTACCCTTCATTTCGGTGTGCGGACTTCTCATTGCGGTGACTTCTCTTGTTGCGTAGCACGGGCTCTAGGCGCGCGGGCTCAGTAGTTGTGGCTCGCGGGCTCTAGAGCGCAGGCTCAGTAGTTGTGGCGCATGGGCTTAGCTGCTCCGTGGCATGTGGGATCTTCCCGGAACAGGGCTCGAACCAGTGTCCCCTGCGTTGGCAGGCAGATTCTCAACCACTGCGCCACCAGGGAAGTCCCGACTTAGTGGTTTAAAACAACACAAATTTATTATCTTAGAGTCTTGGAGGTCTGAAATCTGAAATGGGGCTCCTGGGCTAAAATCAAGGTATTGGCAGGGCTGGTTCCTTCTGGAAGCTCTAGGCTTCAGTGGTCACATTGCCTTCTGACTGAGTGAAATCTTCTGTGTCCTCTTACAAGTATCCCTCTGATTACGTTTAGGGCCCACTGGGATAATCCAGGATAATCTCCGCCTCTCAAGATTATTAACTTAATCACACCTGCAGTGTCCCTTTTGCCCTGAAAGGTAAACTTACTCATAGGTTCCTGGGATTGGGATGTGGATGTGGGTGTGGTTAGGAGCCATTATTCAGTCTCCCACACTGATGTTCCATGTCTCTGAATAGCATGGAGATGCTTCTGCTCATCAGTGTCTGAGAGATGGGTCAGGATTTCTAGACTCTCTTTGCATCTCCTTGTGGTTGCAAGAGGTTTTCTGGGGGAAGAACAAAGTCTCCCCACAGCACTTTTTTTGGTCTCATAAGCTAAAACTAAATGAAATGCTCATCTACACGCAAAGTATGCTTGGAAGTGTGTATGCAGTGTCTTTAGCGTTAGGGAGAGAAGGGACTGGGCCTGCCTCTGAGGCAGTGCTCAGCAGGGCTGGGGGCCTTAGGTCAGAGCATGGGAAGGCCAGGCAGTGGTCCAGACTCTCATGTACTCACACATTAATGCCCATGTGTTCTCCTCTTCAGGCAGAGGCGGGCGTGGCAGGAGAGGCCCAGAGGCCATTGTGGGCACGGCAGTAGCTACCGTGGATGGGCAGTGGGGAGAGAGCTTGTTGAGGTGCATGGCTCGGGGAAGCGGCATGAAGACAACTCCCCACCCGCAGGTGCTGGGGAAGGCGCCCCTTGGGATTGGCCTCCGCCACAGTGCCAAGCGGGACCGGAAGTCCATCACCCTGCATGTGAAGTTGGAGGTGCTTCGGAGGTTTGAGGAGGGTGAGAAGCTGACGCAGATCGCCCGGGCCCTGGGACTGGCCACCTCCACGGTTGCCTCAATCCGCGTGAACAAAGATAAGATCCGGGCCAATTCCCAGGCAGCCACGCCCGTCAGCACCACCCAGCTGACCCGCTGCCGGGGTGTGCTGATGGGCCGCATGGAACGCCTCCTGAGCCTGTGGATTGAGGAGCAGAAGCGGCAGAACCTGCCTGTCAGCACGCTGCTTATCCAGGACAAGGCGCGCCGGCTCTTTGCCCAGCTGCAGCACGAGCAGGGCAGCGGCGCCCAGGCCGAGACGTTCGGGGCCAGCAATGGCTGGTTTGCCCGTTTCAAGGTTCGCCACAACGTGCTGTTGACGGATGAGCCGGCTGTGGCCGACGCCCAGGCTGCCGCACGCTACCCCGTGGTGCTGCGCGCCATTCTGGAGGAGGGCTGCTACTCACCACGGCAGGTCTTCAACGTGGACGAGACAGGCCTGTTCTGGAAGCGGCTGCCTGAGCGCATGCTTCTGGCACTGGAGGGGACAGCTGGGCCTGGGCCCAAGGCCTCTAAGGACCACCTGACCCTGCTGCTTGGTGGCAATGCGGCTGGTGACTTCAAGCTGAAGCCCCTGCTGGTGTACCCCTCGGAGAACCCGCGTGCCCTCAGGGGCTGCTCCAAGGCCAGCCTGCCTGTGGTCTGGCGCTCCAACCGCAATGATTGGTTGACACCTAGCATCTTCCAGGAGTGGTTTACTGGCTGCTTCTGCCCAGCTGTGGAAAGCTACTGTGCCAGCCATGGCCTCCCACACCGCGCTCTGCTGCTGCTGGACAGCGCACCCTGCCACCCTGTCCACTTGGGTGGCCTCTCAGCCCATGTGCGTGTTGAGTTCCTGCCCAAGAACACGTCAGCCCTGATCCAGCCCATGAACCAGGGTGTCATTGCCGCCTTCAAGGCCCATTATCTGCGCCGCACGCTCAGCCAGCTGGTCCAGGAGACGGCGGGTACAGACCGGCCCTCCGTGCGGGAGTTCTGGCGCAGCTATACTGTCATGACTGCTGTAGACAACATTGCTAAGGCCTGGGCAGAGCTGCAGCCTGCCACCATGAACAGTGCCTGGAGGAAGCTGTGGCCCGAGTGCGTGCCTGCTGGTGCCCCCGAGCCCAACGCCCTCCCCCAGCTCCGTCACAGCATTGTGACACTAGCCAGCCACGCAGGCCTCGGGGATGTGGCTGAGGCCGATGTTGCCCACCTGCTGCAGGCCCATGGGGAGCCCTCGCCCCGCAGCATCCCCCAGGAGGTGGAGGTTGGGGGTGTCAGTGACTCTGGGCTGCCCTGTGAGGCGGGGAAAGGCTTGGCCTCCAGAAGACCAGAGTCAGATCTCATGGAGGCCATGGTGGGTGTGGAGACTGAGGAAGTAAGTGTGGGTGCACTGCGCCCTGAGCACCTGGCCCAGGCACTGTCCCACTTTGCTGCCGGCCTGCGAGTCCTCATAGAGAACGATCCCAACCGGGAACGCAGCCTGCGGGTGTCCCGGGGTGTCCACTGTGCCCTCGCCCACCTCCGAGAGCTGCAGCGGGAAAGGAGGCGACAGGCTCGGGCAGTTGCGGGGCCTCAAGGGGCCCCATGATGGTGGCAACAAAGGAGTTGGCAGAAAGCCTGCACTCACCCCAGGTGGGGCCCACAGAGGGTGGGCAAGTGGCCAAGGGCACAAACCCTGAAGGACAGAGCTCTTTGGCTGTCCTGTGTGATTTAGGGCTTGGGCCTGACCTCAGATGAGCTTTGTCTGATGATGCTTTGTTTCTGGAGGGTAGACCCTGCCACTTCTCACCCATGGTTCTCATACCTCATGCACTGCCATCTTTGTACAGTGGCACCCAGAGTGTCAGGCTTGGGGAACAAGAGGGTGGTGTTCTCTGATTGGCAGATGAGCTGCGGGACCCAGGAGTGCCCATCCGTGTCAGAGACACACCCTGTAGGACAGCGGTTGCCAAGCACAGCCCACCAGGGTAGCCTTCCTTGTGGTGAGGGGCCAGGGTTGAGACAAGCCTCTCCTATTTGCCAGCCCTGACCTGTCCGTGCACCATTGTTACTCTTCGTAGCCAACTCTAGGTGGGGGTTTCCTGCTCTCCTTGCTCACCTTCCGTGCCATCCTCACTCTTTCTGGCTTCCACGGTTTGTGTTGTCTGAGGTTTCTGGTACCTTCCCTGTGCCCGAGCCTATGGGCGTGTGTGGCTTTCCTTGGTTTGGAGATGTTTTCTTCCCTGGGTTTCTGTGCCGTGGTTGTCTTGGCTTCCCTCCAGCCTCTGAGGCTGAGCCTTCTGACACTTCGATGGTCTCCCAGATCTAGAGCTCTTTGGAAAATCTCAGCCATTTTTGAGGGCTCAGTGTCTACCTCAGGGTCAGCTCCCAGCACATTGGCTGCAGCCCAGCCTCTCCCCAAGGTTAGAAACATGGCTCCAATTCCAATGGATTGGCTCCTTGGACGGTCTTGTTATCTCCGTCATACCAGCTTGTTCTCCTGTCCCCCTAGATTGTAACAGCAAGCACACTGGGGTATCCACTTGACTCTGTAGACATACCATATGGGCCACCAAAACCCAGAGTCATCAAGGGAAGGAGTTCTTGTACTCCAGCTAGGTGAGCCACAGGCGGTGAGACAGGGCTGCCTGGCCTCCTGGACTCCTTTCGACACAGGTACCTGCATGTGTCCGTGAACGTGTGCGCGCGACATACACACGCATGCCAAGAGTAAAGTTGGGAGAAAGGATTCCTTCTACCTCTGTCCCAGCTAACACTTGAAGTGCTGGGCCTGCTGTCAATACGTAAAAGGGGCCGGAGGCCAGGGAGGGGTTCCAGGGTCCAGCCTTCCTGGGAGAAAGGTCAGATGAGGCCCCTTGTTTGCTTTCTTGGGGAGAGTGGCAAAAGGGATGGCAAGGAGAAGTAGAAGAGCTTTTCTTAGGAGCCTGGTGACTGACTGGATTAATAAACTGCACAAATTATAAGCACTTGTAATGTGCTAGGTGTTGGGGAGACCAGGGTGGGAGAGACTGGCTTCAGGAGCTGCCAGTCCAAAGGCTGTTACATTCTGTGTGACGACGGCTATGACGGGCGACTTGTGAGGGACCTAAACCTAGCTGGGGTCAGAGGAGAGGACATGATAGGGAAGGCTTTTTGGGGAGGTGCTGCCCCAGCTTTTGGAAACCGGTCATTTCAAAATGCCAGGCATCACAGAGGGGCCTGTTTTAGACGGCCCAGCACGGTTTGGCTGGTGAAGCCCTGAGGACGGGGAAGCAGGAGCAGCCTCGATGGAGGCGGAGTGCGGCACAGCAGCTGAAAGAGGCAGGTGACCAGGTAGGAGGAAATGCCACATCCGCCGGGCGGGAGTAGAGAGGCAGCTGAGGGGCAACCTGGCACAGTCGAGCGGACGGATAGCGAGGGGATCTGAGGTCGCGCGGGCAGGGCGTGGTGGAGACAACGCGCGGACGGGCTCATCTGGCTCCATAACTCTTTACTTCGGAACCCGGGACACCGCCAGTCGCACCACTGGCGCCCCCTTGCAGGCCCCTGAAGAACTCCATTTCCCGGCGGCGCCGAGCGCTCTTGCTCGCTGCCTTCTGGGAAATGTAGTGTCTATAGGTCACCCGGGCTGTTACTGTGGCGGGCCAAGGACTACATTTCCCAAAGGGCTTCGCGGACAGGGCCGGGCTTGCGCACGTTCCACTTCCGGGCGCCGGACGTCGCCAAAGAGTTGCAGAGGTATACTGTTACCTCCCCTTCACCTCCGTGCGCTGGCCTGTCGTGGGGAGGTGGGTGGTTGCTAGGGAAGGGAGGGAAGGGGCGGGGTGGGCACAAGGCACCGGAAGTAGTCCTTGGGACGGACGGAAGCTCGTGGTCCTGGGGCCCCAGGGTGGTTGGTCTTTGTTCCAGCACGGTGTCGTTTGACGCCGTCCGCCTGGCTTCTTGGGGCGGTGAGTCTGGGCGCGACGCGGTGGAGGCTTCGGAAAAGCCCGGGGTAGGGTGTGCAGCTGGCCAGAGGGCGGCAGGAGAAGGGGGGCGGGGGAACACCAGCTGCTTTCCGAGGACTCCGGCGAGTCCACGGGGAAGGGCGGCGCGTGGGCTGCTGGGACATGGAGTCCGGCGGGGCTGGGCCTGCACCGGAAGTGATTCTGGGCCGAGCTGGGCTCTCGCCACGCCTCGGGGGTCGGGGTCGTGCACGTGCACCCGCGCTAGTCCTTTTCTCGGCGGAATTCCTGGGCTTCTGTCCACCATTCCACCCAGCTCCCCCTAAACTCACCTCCCCTGGAAAGTCTTCCTGGATTTCTGCAGCTCAGACCACCTCTTTGCTCCTGCTGCACCTGCGTGCGTCCCTCTATAAAGTGAGAGTGCGGGCGGGGTGGGGGGACGCTCCCCTCACAGGGGGATTAAATCCAGATCCTTCCCCGGCCGAAGGCTGTGCAAGTTCGCCCAGGCCACACAGCCTTCGCATTTGCTGATTCCGCTACGTAGACCGTCCTCCACTTTAGCTGTCATCTCAGGGTACTTGGGGGTGAGAGCCGGGGGTTGGGGGCTGTTGGATGGGGCGGCCTGGTTCAGGGGAGCCCTGACCAATGCTTTAAAGACGTGCATTGGCATTGAAAATGATCTGTGTTCTTTTTTCTTAAATACTTATTTATTTATTTTTTTTGGCTGTGTCGGGTTTCAGTTGCGGCACGCGGGATCTTCATTGCGGCGCGTGGGCTTCTCGTTGCGCGCGGGCTTCTCTCTAGTTGCGGCTCGCATGCTCAGTAGTTGTGGCGCGCAGGCTTAATTGTCCCGCGGCATGTGGGTTCTTAGTTCCCGGACGGGGCATTGAACCCACACCCCTTGCATTGGAAGGCAGATTCTTAACCACTGGACCATCAGGGAAGAAGTCCCAATCTGTGTTCTTTTCTGAAGTTACAGTGGTAGCAAATGACCGTTGGCAGAAAAATTCAGGTGCTCTGCAGACATTACAAAAGAAAAAGCAGATGTCCTCCCCCAGTTCCTTTCTCCAGAATTGCCAGCTGAGGCGTTGCTGGTTTTCAGGATCCTTTTCTGAACACTTGTAGCAGTAACTCCTGTTTTTTGTTTTGAAATTTTAACATTAGTGGGATCATGTCAGTTGAGGAGGACCACAGCTTACTTTCTTGTTTAGCACTGTAGCGTGGACGTCTCTCTCACTGTCCATTGTTGACCTTGCCTAGTTGAGTTGGGCCGAGCCTCTCAGGCCCCATAGGATTGTGCCATGAGGGAAGGAAGTCCTTCCAGTGTAGGAACCAGCTCTTGCTCTCCCTGTGCGGCTGCACTGCAGCCGTCCCCACTACCATCTTGGCCTTCCAGCCTGTCCCCCACATCACTCTTTCTAGTGCCCCACAGACTGCATCCTTCACTTGCACGGACCCTCCCTGGGCACTGAGTCTCTGCTAGTTCCCGCCAGCACCTCTGCTTGGCTGCTGATGGGGTTCTCTCCACCCCTGAGACACTGGACACGTCCACGCCCCATCCCCAGGAGCAGCCCTCCTACTGGCCCAGTCTGGCCTGAACTCCTGAAGGCTTCTCTGCAGGAAGCGCTCCCTCACTGTCCTAACCAGATTCCCAGTGTGAGGCATCCTCTTGAGGGCACAGATAGGGAGGTCGAGGCTGGAGGTGTCCCCTTGCCAGGTTGTCAGCTGGCCAGGTGTGGGGACAGTTTCCACCACAGCAAGTGACCTTGCAGGCTATGAGTCGGCGGAGGGGTGTGGGTGGCCCATGGCCCTGATTGGTTGGGTGTGTGTCCCAGGAAGACGGTGTGTGTGGCCTGAGTGAAGGCAGAGAGGCCAGCTTCCCCAGGTTTCGCCATGGCAGCCGACCCAGCACCCATCGGTCAGGAAGAGCTCGTGATCATCAAGATGGAGGAGGATGAGGCCGCCCTGTGGGATCCTGAACCGTTCTTCAAGCCTCAGCCCCAAACCCTGTTGCCTGGGCTTGGTAGGGACCCCCGGCAGTGCTTCCGGAGCTTCCGCTATGAGGAGGCAGCAGGGCCCCGCGAGGCGCTGGCCCGGCTCCGGGAGCTGTGCCGCCAGTGGCTGCGGCCCGAGGTGCACTCCAAGGAGCAGATGCTGGAGCTGCTGGTGCTGGAGCAGTTCCTGGGCGTGCTGCCACCTGACACCCGGGTCTGGGTGGAGTCCCAGTGCCCCGAGAGTGGCGAGGAGGCTGTGGCACTCGTGGAGGACCTCGCTCAGATGTTGCAGGAGACTGGTGAGCCACGGGGGACTGGGCTTGGGGGCAGGGAAAGTGCAGGGGGACACAACTCATGACGCCGGGTCCTGAGTGCCTGCCCGCTCTGCCCAGGCCCTGTGTCCTCATCTCTGGGAAGAAGACTCAGAAGCTGTGACATGTTTGGAGACTTTTCTAGACTCTTAGCCTCCCAGAGGTGTGAGCCTGGGGTTGGTGTAGCATTTCCCCTGCTCAGGTGCACTGGCCTTCTTTCTCTTCCTTTTCTCCTTCCTGACAAAGTCACGGAGTGCGTGCCATGTGGCAGGCCCTGTGGGTCCAGCAGGGAAGGGAGAGAGGCAAGGTCCTTGGCCTGTTGGAGCCCAGTCTGGTTTGAGAGTTGGGACAGTGAGACCTCCAATCACAAGTAGGGTGTGTTTCTTTCTCTAGAGGGGGTGGAGGCAAGAGGAGGTGGGCACAGAGGTCGGCCCAGCCAGGGGTGGCTTTGCAGTTCGTGCTGTGTGATGTCTTCACCTTGGACGTGTGCTTCCGCACCTGTGAGGAGGTGACAGCCGTGCAGCAGGGAGGAGAGATGGTTGGTTACCACCTCGGTCCACCCTGGCGTGTGTTTACTTATTTACTCGTGTATTTGTGCAGTTCCTTTTGCCTGCTTGGCCCCTTGTATCGAGGGGTGGAAACCATAGCACTTAAACAAGCAAACAAAAACCCAGCTTTATTAGGCTCTAACCCACATAATCAAAAAATTGTACACTTAGTGGGTTTTAGTATAGTCACAGGTTTGTACAACCATCACCCACGTCTAATGTCATCACCTTCAAATTAACTACGTACCCGCCAGCAGCTACTCCCCATTCTTCCCTTTCCTAGTGCCTTGGCAGCCAGCAACCTGCTTTGTGTCTCTGTAGACGTTCTTATTCTGGACGTTTTATTAAATGGTATCATACATTTCCTGGAGTCATACATGGCTTTTTATGATGGGCTGCTTTCATCGAGTGTCATGTTTCCAGCGTTCATCCACAGTGTAGTACGTCACTCATCTTTATGCCTAGTCATATTCCGTTGTGTGGTTATACCACATTCTGTTTATTCATTTATCTGTTATGGTTATTTGGGTTGTTTGTACCTTTTGGCTGTTACGATTAATGCTGACGTGAACTTACGTATACTTTATTCTCTTGGTTATATACCTAGGAGTGGAATTGCTGGATCACACGGTAACTCTGGCCTTTTGAGGAACTGCTAACACACCACTTGTTTTAAGAGAGGGGATTTAATGTAGAGAGTGTAACCTAGGCATTGAAGGAGTGAAAAAGTACAGAAAGAACTCTAAGGTGTCATGGTGGTAGGAACTGCAGGGAACTGTGTCCGCTCCGGGAAGAGGTCGGAATTATGACAGTTAGAGACTCAAAGGAGGGGCTGGGAGGTGGGGCTGCTGCTGGATGGTGCTGGGGTCTCCCAGGGGGACAGCATGCAGCTGGTTCTGCACATGTTGGAAAAACTGCAAACTGGATCTAGCTGCTGCTAAAGAAACCCTTGATAATGCACGACTGGTTTTCACCCAGGCATGAACGTGAGGTGCAGGTGAGACACCTTGTACGCATGGGTCCACAGTCCTCCCAGGGTGTCTGGCTGTCGTGCTGGGCTGTTCTCTGAGCCATGGGCAGCGTTTGTCGTCTTAGGGGACTGTTCTTAGGGAACTGTACCAGTTCCCAGCTTCCCACGGAACGGATGCTTAGGTGATGCACACTGTTAAAAGAGATTTTGCATCGTAAGAGTGTGGACGTTGGCAAAGCAGCCTGCTGGCACTGAACGGACTTAGGCCTGGTGCTCTCGAGGATCCTCTGGGGCATGCATGGTTATGTCCACTCAGTCCTGAAGCCTCATGGTCTCACGTTTACACGAAAACTCCTGCCTTTGCTCCGTACCCTTACCTGCTCTCAGCCTGTTGCTGGCCCCTTCGATGTCCCCACATGGGAGAGGGTAGGGCCCGGCCCTGGCTTTCTCTGGGTGGTTTTGGAGATGACTGCTCTGATGCTATCAGGGAGACCAGAATGATGTCCCAAGCTCTTCCTTGGCTGTCACTGTTGCTGTGTGTTCGGGGGTCCCAAAGACCCCCCTTAGCCTCAAGTGATTTGCTAGGAGTCACAGAATTCAACAAGGCTATTATATTCGTGGTTGTAGTTTATTACAGTGAAGGATACAGATTAAAGTCAGCGGTGGAAAAAGGTGCCTAGTCTGGGAGATACCAGGCACGAGATTCCGGGTGTCCTTTCCTGTGGGAGTCGTGTGGGTCGTGCTTAATTCCCACAGCAGTGATGTGCGACGATACGCACAGGATGCTGCCACTGGGGGGCTCGCCTGCAGTGATGTCCAGGATTTTTACTGGGGGTCAGTCACCGAGTTATGGAACATGACTGACCTTAGTTACTCAGCCTGAACTCCCGCCAGAGGTCAGACCTGTACAGTGTGGCCCAGGGTTACTACCATGTCACATTGTTAGCATGAACTATCTGTGTGACCCAAGAACTTAGGTAAACAAAGATGTTCTTATCAGGCAGAATCTTCCAAGGGCTTAGAGGTCTCCTCCCAGGAGCAGGTCAAGGGCCAGACTTTCGTTTGGAGTGTGGAGGGTTTGGACAGCTCAGGCCTGCTGAGTCAGCCCTTTACTGACCACCCAGCTGCAGCTGAAGGAAGCTTCTAATGACTGTCTCCTTGGTGTTTCAGTGACTTGGGTTTCAGGGGCCTTGGGTGTGTTCTTGAGGTACGTATGTGTGTGTGCATCGGAAGGGGCTGCCTGTCAGCCAGGGTACGGTGTTCTTTGTGAATCAGAGGGCAAGCGGTGTGTCATCTGGCTCAGAGTGTCTGGCCAGTAGGACATGTTGACCTCCGGATTGATTAATGGGCTTGGGTGCCTCACCCCTTTGTCCCCAGGGTGGGCCTGCAGACACTAACACTGCTCTTTCCCCTCAGCCCTGGCCCAGGCCCCTCCCGAGGACCAACGGTTTGGAGACCTGGCAGAGCCGGCCAAGCCCTTCACGGATGGAGCTCAGGTGAGCTGTGAGTCCTCCAAAGTCAGAGATGCCACATCCTGCGGGACCCAGCCCGCCTCCCACCCCCCCTTCACCCCAGGCCGTGGAGGGTCACATTCAGCAACTGTGCCCAGCCCCCACCCCCACCACCCCTCGCCCTCAGGCTGGGCTCAGGACCTGCCCATCACCGTCTCCCAGCTCCTGGGTCTGAGGATGGGGCCTCCCCAGGCTCACACCATTTGAATACAGAGTACAGTAAGTCCCCTACACACAAACCTCCAAGTTACGAACTTTCAAAGATGCGAACATGCGTTCGCATGTCCAATCACGTAAGTTAGTTCACGTGTCTGGCGTACATTGTCATGTGCGTGCATCCTCTACAAGTGGTTGTGCTTTTGTGTGCTTTACAGTACTGTATAGAGTACAGTAGTACAGTATCTTTATTTCAAGCCCAGGATGTCCGGAAGCAAGCGTAAAAGCAGCGGTGATGTAGCGGGTACTGCTAAGAAGCGCCACGCGATAACGATGGAAACAAAAGTGAAAATAATTGAGAGAGTGGAGCGAGGCGAAAAGATGGTAGACGTCGCTCATTCTTATAACCTGAATCGTTCAACCATCGGCTCAATCGTAAAGAACAAGGACAAGATCATGGAACATGTGAAGTCTGCTATGCCGATGACGTCCACAATAATAACAAAGAAGCGTGGAAAAGTGATGGAGGAGATGGAGAAACTTCTCAGTGTGTGGATGCAGGATCAGCGTCAGCGTCGAGTCCCACTCAGCTTAATGCTGATTCAAGAGAAAGCCAAGAGCCTTTATGAAGACTTGAAGAAGAAACACGGCGAAGAATCAGAGGGCAAATCTTTTAATGCCAGCCGTAGCTGGGTTCACCGGTTCAAGGCTAGAGCCAAACTTCACAATGTAAAAGTGAGTGACAAGGCAGCGAGTACAGATACAATAGCTGCCCGGGAATTTCCTGAAACGCTTCGAGAAATTATCGATGAAGGCGCGTATTTACCCGAGCAGGTGTTTAATGTGGACGAGACAGGACTGTACTGGAAGAGGATGCCGGACCGAAGTTACATCAGTAAGGAGGAAAAGTTGATGCCGGGCTATAAAGCATCAAAGGATAGGCTCACGCTGTTGTTTGGTGGCAATGCTTCCGGTGATATGAAGCTGAAGCCTCTGTTAGTTTATCACTCAGAGAACCCAAGAGCCCTTAAAAACATAGCCAAGGGCTCTCTTCCTGTTGTGTGGAAGAGTAACCCCAAAGCCTGGGTTACACAGGCCATTTTCCAGGACTGGTTTTTCCACCACTTTATCCCGGAGGTAGAGAAATATTGCTTGGAGAAGGACGTCCCATTCAACATTCTTTTGCTGCTTGACAATGCTCCGGGCCACCCCCCATTCATGGACGACTTTCATCCCAACGTCAAAGTAGTGCATCTGCCACTGAATACTACGGCGCTCATCCAACCTATGGACCAGGGAGTTATAGCGACTTTCAAGAAATATTACTTACGTCACACTTTTCGTCAGGCAGTAAAGGCGAGTGACGAATCAGGAACAACCTTGCGACAATTTTGGAAGGACTATAACATCTACAAGGCCATAAAAAACATTGACTTTGCCTGGAGTGAGGTTACGGCCGTCACCATGAATGGGGTTTGGAAGAACCTTTGCCCGAAGTTTGTTCACGATTTTCGTGGATTTGAGAAGGTGGATGAGGAGTCCAAAGAGGTCTTCAGCAATTTAGTGACCCTCAGCGAGAAGCTGGAGCTAGATCTGCAAGAGGACGACTTCATTGAACTCCTTGCTGTGCAACATGAGGAGCTCACTAATGAAGACCTGATGGAATTGGAGGCCCAGAGAAAGGATGAAGAGGGACAGGAGGAAGAAGAAGTAACTGAAGAACCGAAGAGATTCACGACGCAGGAAATGGCAAGGGGGTTTTCTTTATTTGAGGAGGCGCTGTTGGTGTTTGAGGCACAGGACCCGAATGTAGAACGGTACACGAAGGTTGCAGCAGCCGTTCAGAATGCAATCCAGTGCTACCGTGTCATCTATGACGAGAAAAAAAGAGCTACTACGCAGACATCACTGGATCGTTTTTACAAGAGGGTGGATAGAATTAAATCCAGCAAGGAACCAGAGCCTGTGCCATCCACGTCAGGCGTGAGTGAAATTGCAGCTTGCCCTCCGTCTCCTACTGCTGACGATCCTTCAGCCCTACCATCTCCCACCTCCTCTTCCTCCTCCAGTCAGTAACTCTTCCTGCCTGTTCCCTTGATGCCAGCCCCTGGATGCCAGCTGTTGTACTGTACTACGGTACTTTTCAAGGTACTGTACTGTAAGATTAAAAATGTTTTCTTTATTTTTTGTGTTTGTTTGTTATTTATGTATTATTCGTGTGAAAAGTATTATAAACCTATTCCAGTACAGTACTGTATAGCCGATTGTGTAAGTTGGGTACCTAGGCTAACGTCGTTGGACTTACGAACACATTGGACTTACAAACGTGCTCTTAGAACGGAACTCGTTCATACGTAGGGGACTTACTGTAGTTGTAGTCTCTCTTGCACAGAGATAGAAATACAGCAGTCATTATTTATCCTCCCATTTTAAAGAAAAATTTTAAATGTATATAAAACATGTATATGCATTATAAAGTAATTCAAACCTTAAGAGAAGCACATAACGTTGAAACCCCACAGCCAGTCTTCCTCTCTGGAGATGGCCACTGCCACCCATCGTACACCCTTCCTCTTTCCTGTACACACGTGCAATTCACACACATGTGCGTGTGTATGAACGGGGCACACAGACATTTCCAAAGGAAGCCCATTAACGCTCTGCACCTCACTGATTTCACTTTGTCTTGTGTTGAGGTCCCTTCCAGTGGCACAGGCAGCTCCAGCCTTTCTTTTTAGTGGCTATCTTGGAGTCATGTGCCCAGCCCCGCTAGGGAATGTGGGCCGCTGTTGGTTTCTCATCCCAGAACACACACCCTCATCTTGGCTGCTGCCCCTCTGGCTCTTCTGCCCCTGGGCCTGCCTGTCCTCTGGGTGGCCTCAAGACACAGGGACCAAAGCTTATCTCTGTGTCACGGGGTGCCTGCATGTCTTTGATCCTGGTGGGTAACCCAGGGGGCTTCCCCAGGAGGACAGAGGGACTTGCTCACACGTGGGAAGGAGGGCAGACCAGCCAAGGAGCATGGCTGGGGTCTCCTGCCAGGTGAGGGGGGAGAGTGGACCACACCCTGGCCTTTCCCACCCTTGACTGCCATTCCTGGTCTTCCTGAGACACTGCGAGGCCTGGGAACGCCTGCGGTGGCCCTGCCTAGATCTGCCCAAGTCCGGCTCAGCCGGTGTCCTGCCGGCAACTCTCAGAGAACACCCAGGGCTGCTTTACTGTCAAACTCCCATCACCAGTCGGGAGTGTAGAGCTGGGCTCTGAGAGATGCTGCTCCTGGAAGAAACAAGGTGCTTGGCCCACCCCCCTGTGGAAGGACACTGGGAAGTGGGTCTCCTTGGCCACCTCGGGGCCCCAGGGCTGGAGGCAGGCCTGCCCCTCGCCGGGTTCTCCAGGAGCCCGTCTGGGTAATTGAACCCTGCACAAGTATTTCCTTCATTAAAAAAACCAAAAACGGGGACTCCCCTGGTGGTCCAGTGGTTAGGACTCCGCTCTTCCACGGCAGGGGGCACGGGTCCGATCCCTGGCTGGAGAACTAAGATCCCCCATGCCGCGCGGCTTGGCCAGACCAACCAAAAAATCAAAACAACACACAAACAAAACAAAAACCTTGAGTCCTGACACCCTTAATTAATGACATTGCTCAAGGTCTTGCGAGCTTGGGGCCATGAAGCGTGTTGGCTCCATGGACAGCTCGTTCCTCTGCTTTCCCGGGTTGCCACCAAGCTCTGAGCTGAGGTTTATACACTGTGGCTGCCCGTCCCTGGGCCCGGCTATGACGTGCTGGTAATTTCTGGGCTCTGTATTTGGTCTGACATCAGTTTGTGGTGTATTACGCCACCCTGGATGCTTCAGGAGGCCGGCGAGTAGGTGACCGGGGATGGTGGTGTCAGCGGGGAAAAGTGGTAGAGGGTTTTCAGAAAAAAGTGGAAGAGTGGAAGGAAAGTGGCAGAGGGTTTTCAGAGGCTTGCTGCAATCCTGGGGGTGGAGTTTATTTAGTCCACGGGGCCAGACTCATCGAGTGGCCGGATGTGGCCCCGAATCTCCCACCTAAAGAGAGAGACTAGTCAGGGACCTCTAAGGGTTTTACCCAGGCCCGTCAGCACTTCCCACCGGTAAACGTTGTCTCCCCATTTTACAGCGGGTCAGGGCTGGGGCGGCAGCGGCCCTGAAATCAGCGGGCTCAGGGCGGGAACATAAATATTCTGTTGTGGTGTCCGGAGAGAGTGATGCGGGCCCGAAGCCCCCCCTGAAGAGGCCGCCGAGGGCGGGCCAGCGCCCAAGTGCCAAGCGGGACCGAAAGGCCATCAACCTGCAGGTGAAGCTGGAGGTACTGCGGCGCTTCGAAGCCGGAGAGAAGCTCAGCCGAATCGGGAGGGCACTGGGTCTCTCCACCTCCACTGTGGCCACCATTCGTGACAACAAGGACAAGATCCGAGCGAGTTCCCAGGCGGCCACCCCGCACGCGGCCTGTAAGCTGACGCGCAGCCGCAGCCTGGTGATGGAGAACATGGAGCGGCTGCTGAGCGTGTGGATCGAGGACCAGAACCGGCGTGACGTGCCGGTCAGCGTGGTGCTCGTCCAGGAGAAGGCCCGCAGCCTGTTTGAGGAGCTCAAGCGGGCGCAGGGTGAGGGCTCCGAGGCGGAGACTTTCGGCGCCAGCCGCGGCTGGTTCGCGCGCTTCAAGGCGCGGCACGGGCTGCGCAGCCTCGGGGCCGGAGGCGAGGCGGCGCGCGCAGACGCAGAGGCTGCGCGCAGGTATCCGGCGCTGCTGCGGAGGGTGATCCAGGAGGGCGGCTACACGGCCCGGCAGGTGTTCAACGTGGACGAGACCCGGCTCTTCTGGAGGCGGCTGCCGGGCAGGACGGGCCCTTCCATGGCGGAGAAGCCAGGCCCCGGGTTCACAGCCGCCCAAGATCTCCTGACCCTGCTGCTCGGCAGCAACGCTGCCGGCGACTTCAAGCTGAAGCCGCTGCTGGTGTACCCCTCAGAGAACCCGCGCGCCCTCCGGGGCTTCTCCAAGCCCAACCTGCCCGTGCTGTGGCGCTCGCACAGGAAGGCCTGGGTCACTGTGAGCCTCTTCCAGGAGTGGTTCGTGCACTTCTTCTGCCCCGCTGTGGAGAGGTACTGCGCCCGGCACGGGCTCCCGTATAAAGCTCTGCTCGTCCTGGACAGCACTCCCGGCCGCCCAGGGAACCTGGACGACCTCTCCGACCACGTGCGCGTGGAGTACCTGCCCAAGGACACCACGGCCCTCATCCAGCCCATGACCCAGGACGTGGTCGCCACGTTCAAGGCCTGCTACCTGCGGAGGGTCTTCCGCCTCTTGGCGGCGAGGGCGGGAGGCGCTGGCGAGCGGTCAGCGGCCTCGGACTTCTGGCGGGACTATAGCATCCTGGACGCTGTGCACAACATCTTCGAGTCCTGGGAGGAGGTTCCGCCCGCGACGTTGAACCAGGGTTGGAGGAAGCTGTGGCCCGAGTGCCTCCAGCACGACGCCAGCCCCCGACCCGGGGAGGCCCTCCCGCAGATCAGGCGGGACGTCGTGGCGCTGGCGCACAGCTTGGGTTTCGGGGAGGTGGCAGAGGCGGATGTGGCTGAGCTGCTGCAGAGCCAGGGCGCAGACCTGTCCAACGAGGAGCTGGTGGGGCTGGAGCAGGAGCTGGCAGCCGGGGAGGAGGGTGAGGACAGCTCGACGGCTTCCCGCCAGCTCACGGCCAGGTACCTGGCCAAGGCCCTAGCACATTTCGATGCTGGCCTGCAGATCGTCAGGGACAACGATCCCAACCTGGAGCGCAGCCTCCGCGTCTGCCGGGGCGTGAACAACGTGATCAGCTGCTATCGGGAGCTCTTCAAGGAGAAGAGAGGCCCCAAATAGTGTGTGTTGAGGGGGAGGGGGTGTTGGGAGTTCTGAGGCCTCCGGACTTTGTTGGGGAGAGGGGGTCCTCCCTCCCCATCTTTCACATGGAAGTGACACTGGTCTGCATGTTTCCATTTCATTAATCCCTCAAATGTTTTTCTGTCAGCAAATAATTTAGTGTCTCAAGTGAACTTCTCAAATATATGGTTTTAGAAGCCTTGGTGAATTCTCAAGTGACTTTATTGCATCCTGGGCCCTTTCGGAGCAGTGCAGCCTCGGTTTCCTAGTGGAAGCCCATGAGGAAGCCGGAAGCACCGGCTAGCACCCCTGGCACGGTATTCCTGCCACCTTGCTCACTGCGCTGAGCTCTTCCTGTATTCAGAGCTGGGGCTCACAGAGCTGAGAGGGGTTCAGAGAGGGGTTCTGCTTGTTTTATGGCCCGCTCACCCTTCAGCTGAGCTTCAGGACCTGCAGGCGGCAAAGGCTGACCCCGGATGAGCACCCAGAGAGACTCAGGGATCCAGAGAGTGGGCCTGGGTGGGAGGAGTGTCCGGCCACACACCTCCCATCTCTGTTCTCCCGGGACACTGGATGCGTCTTGTCATCTTGTTCTGTCCTCTGAAATGATGCTGTGCCCCTGCTGACTGGCCGGGGGGAGGGGGGGCGGGAGGAGAGACTACAGCCCGTTGTGGGTGAGCTGGTGAGGCAGCACATTCGCCAGGCTCCCCGGCCCCGGCGCGGGCGTCCTCACGGCTGCAGGCCCGGCTGCAGGCCTGCTGCTAACTCTCCCTCTCTTCTTGTCTCTCTCCTCTGCTGCTCCCTCTCTCCACCAGTTTCCGTTTGACTCCTGCCATGCCCCTTTGACTCTTCTTCCCGTGGACACGGGCTCATTCCAGGCAGTGGTGGCATTTGGAGACAAGGCCCCGGATGCCATGTGGGAAGACTGGGAGGCACACGATGCCCCACAGAAGGAGGGGTAAGGATGTGGGGTTTGGGGTAGGGTTGGCCTTACTGCAGGACGCATGGGTCCTCAGGTGAGTGGTCCCTGTCTCCAGCCAAGGGGCCCTGTTAGAGGAAGCCTTCCCTGAGCCTGCCTTCCTTCTGCAGGAGGTGGGGGGCAGGGGGTGGGCGGGCTAGCCCGGGAGATTGGTTGGGGGCTAAATTTGGCCTGAAGGTTTTGCTGGGGAGCCCAGGTGCCCTCACATCTCCCATCTGCTGTCCATACACCCCGGTGTACACCTGACTGAGGTATGCCCAGAGCCGACCTCTGAACCCATGCACAAAGCAAGCACTCCCTGCTGGCTGGACCTCTTGCATCCGCCCCAACTCTTGGGCCATCGTGGGTACCCGTAGCTCTAGGCTGTCCTGGGGGTGGCCACTGTGGGTGTACCTGACCAGGGGTGCTGGTCTGCTCCTGCTTGGCTATCTGCACCGTTCAGTGTAGAATCAGAGCCAGAGGAGAGACTGACTTTAAAGGACACTTCTGGGCATATTAATCACGTTAAGGCTGTACACGGGTCTTCTCTTCCTGGCTGGGGTCTGGCTGGACACGGGGTGTTTTCCAGGGGTGCTGGGCGCGGAACCGGGCCCCGGGCGCTGGGGCCGGAGCGGGACCCAGTCCCCGGGCGCTGGGGGCGGAGCCGGGCCCCGGGCGCTGGGGGAGGAGCCGGGCTCCGGGCGCGGAGCCGGGCCCCGGGCGCTGGGGGCGGAGCCGGGCTCCGGGCCGCTGGGGGCCCTTCGGGTTCGGGCCAACAAAGAGCAGCCCGGATACCCACGCCCACGGCTGGGCCTGCTGGTCTCTCCGTCCTTCTGTCGGGCACAGTGTTCACCTCCCCCTGCTGCCCCGGCTGGCCTATCTCCTGTCGGGTGGTAAGCTCTTCGTCCCAGCCGCCATCTCCCGCAGCTACCACCCCTTCTCCAGCCTCGGGGATGACCCAGGACCCTCCCTGGGCTCCCCGCCTGCCCCCCTTGGTCGGTGTCCTCAGTCCCCCTGTGCTGACAGGTGAGTGTTCCCTCCAGACGCTCCCAAACGCTTCACCCCAACATCCTCCCCGGGGTCGGCCCCATGTCCTGTCGGGATGTCCCCTGTCACCAAGCCCCAACTACATGGCGAGGGCAGGCATCGGGCTTGCAGCAGGTACCGCTGTGTATCCTGCTGTATACACAGGCATGACCCTGCCCCAGGGTGCAGGAAAGGCAGCCCTATCTCAGGATATGGGGAGACGACTGACTGACTACAGGGCGGACGTCAGCTCTCGGCGCACTAGGCAAGAGCAGCCGGGTTCTCGCTCCCTGGACCCTTTCTCACCTGACTGTGACCCGGCTTTGTTCCCACCCCCGTTGTCCCTCCATTGGCCTCGCTCTTGTGAGCAGAGCAGGACAGTGTGGTCAGCGGTCACAGGCTGAGGCACAGGGACACTGGCTGACCCGCGTGCACCCATGCTGACCCCACGGAACGGGCATTGCACCAGGGCCTGTGTGGTGCGGGTTCACCTGCCCACAGAGAGGCCGGGCCTCTGTCCTGGCTCCAGAGGTCACCTTGAGTCTGACGGGAGTGTCCGTGCTCCATGGGCCTCGCTCCAGGCTGGTCTGTGCTGACGGCATGATACACAGTGGGGCTTCCTTCCCCGGGGGCTGGAGGCCGAGGTCGGGCACATGGTGGTCCTCATGTCGACATGACCGACCCCAAAAAACCCTGCACCTCAGGATTCAGGAGGGATTCCCTGGGTGGCCACACCCAAGGGACCCCCGATGCAGCTCCTGACCTCTGCCCTCGGCTGATATTAATCTACATCCTAAGCAACTCTGTGCCAGCTGCAGAGAGAGGGGGCTTGTTCACACCCCCCTCCCAGTGCACGGGGCTCTCGTGGACAGGCCCCTCCCAAGATATGGAGCTCACCTGGGCAGGTACCCAGCAGCCCACGGGGCTCTCGTGGACAGCCCTCTCCCAGGATATGGAGCTCACCTGAGCAGGTACCCAGCAGCCCACGGGGCTCTCGTGGACAGCCCCCTCCCAGGATATGGAGCTCACCTGAGCAGGTACCCAGAAGCCCACGGGGCTCTCATGGTCAGGCCCCTCCTAGGATATGGAGCTCACCTGAGCAGATACCCAGCAGCCCACGGGGCTGTCGTGGACAGCCCCCTCCCAGGATATGGAGCTCACCTGGGCATGTACCCAGCAGCCCATGGGGCTCTCGTGGACAGGCCCCTCCTAGGATATGGAGCTCACCTGAGCAGGTACCCAACAGCCCATGGGGCTCTCATGGTCAGGCCCCTCCCAGGATACAGAGCTCGCCTGGGCAGGCACCCGGCAGGGCTGGGCACGCAGGAACCGTGCACATAGCCCTCATTGCAGAGCACCCCCAACCCACCTGTTGGTCAGAGCTGACCCTGAGCACCTCAGAGCAGGACCTGAACTAACAAACAGCAGCTCCTGGACAGGTCTGTGACCCTGGGCTTCACTCTGTGTGGCCTCCCTCCACCGCGTCTTCCAGAGGCTTCCAGTGCCGCCGGGGCACCAGGCCTCTGTCTCCAACCATCACCCCTCCTCTCCCTGACTCCTGGGTTCCTCTCATTACGAGAGGGTCTTCTTAAAGTTGTCTCCCATTCATGGACCAGATAAAATGATTAGAAAACAGGACTTCCCTGGTGGCGCAGTGGTTGAGAGTCCGCCTGCCGATGCAGGGGACACGGGTTCGTGCCCCGGTCCGGGAGGATCCCGGAGCGGCTGGGCCCGTGAGCCATGGCCGCTGAGCCTGCACGTCCGGAGCCTGTGCTCCGCAATGGGAGAGGCCACAGCAATGAGAGGCCCACGTACCGCAAAAAAAAAAAAAAAAAATTAGAAAACAAGCCAGAGCTGCAGCCCCTTGTCTATCCTGACTCAGGAGCCCACACCTGTTCCTTGGACCTGGCCGGTGCAGCAAGGCCCATTTTCTGCAGCTATGAGCCCCTGAGGGGCGAGGATTGGCTGACCTGGGCAGCCTGACCGTGCCGGTGAGCCCTCCCCAGGTGTGCGTGGGCTGAGGTCAATATAAACACCGCTCCAGGCAGCAAGAGCCCCTGCAGCTGTGCCTGACGCCATATTCTCTGCCCCGTCAGCAGTCTCGGGGCTGGGCTGCTGGGAGGGAGTGAGGGGCCACGGATTTGTGGGTGGCCCGGTGTGAGTGGGGCTCTGCTGGACTTTCTGCAGGAGTTGCCGGGCTGCCACCTGCTAAAGAAGAGGATGTGTCACCCATACCTGCCGCTGGAATTTCTCCCCGGGCAGAGGTGAGGAAAGAAAAAAGCAGTGGGGGCCGGGACAGGAGGGGTATCTCAGGCAGGGAAATGGAAAGCTTCCAGAAGAGCGCCCGCGGCCAGTACCATCCCGGCTGGCCTGCAGGCACCAACTCGGCCTGCGTGCTGTGGCTGGTGTGACTCCAAGCCCTTTCCTCTAGGCTTTCAAGTCCTTGCACACATTCAGGTGTTTTACCTGGGAAGGGTGGGAACAGTTCAACAGCAGCTGGCCTGGGGCTCAGCTCACGTTTACTCAGAGACGCCTCGGCACGGTCCCCCAGCTTTGCAATGAGGACGCTCCTTGCGGGGTGGGGGGCTGCTGGCTGCATGCGAGAGGATTCCCCACCTCTGACCAACTTCAGAATTGTTTACTGCTGGAGCAAGTGCCCTGATAGGGTTTTCATCTGTATAACTGGTGGGTTCTGTTTTTTTTTTTTTTCTTTTTTGGTTCAAGGTAGGTTTTATTGCTCTTTTTTGTATTTATAGATATAAGCATGGAAATAATTCATTCATATAAATACATCTATGGGAAGGGAAGAACTTTATTTTCTGTTTTATTTTTAAAATTTTATATATTTTTAAAAATTTTTAAATTTTATTTTTTTTATACAGCAGGTTCTTATTGGTTATTTTATACATATAAGTGTATACATGTCAATCCCAGTCTCCCAATTTATCCCCCCCACCCCCCGCCATGGCGTTACCCCCTTGGTGTCCATACGTTTGTTCTCTACATCTGTGTCTCTATTTCTGCCCTGAAAACTGGTTTATCTGTACCATTTTTCTAAGTTCCACATATATGCATTAATATACAATATTTGTTTTCCTTTTTCTGACTTACTTCACTCTGTATGACAGTCTCTAGATCCATCGACTTCTCTACAAATGACCCAATTTCATTCCTTCTTATGGCTAATAGTCCGTTGTATATATGTACCACATCTTTATCCATTCGTCTGTCTGTGGGCATTTAGGTTGCTTCCATGACCTGGCTATTGTAAATAGTGCTGCAATGAACATTGTGGTGAATGTGTCTTTTTGATTTATGGTTTTCTCTGGGT